CCCCTTAGTAAATTTTTGCATTATGCACATCGATACGACCCCACACCGATAGATCCCCGCATCGATAAATCCCCTCTAAAATTGCCGTTATACGCGCACCGTTACTCCCCCACACCGATACTCCCCCGCATTGTTGTTCCACGCACCGTTACTCCCCCGCACCGATACTCCCCCGCATCATTACTCCCCCTATGCAATTTCCACGAAACTGAGGGTCTGGGTAACAGAGAGTCAACCCTTCATTTAATTATACAGGTTAGGGTCAGTCTACGTAAGTCAGTCAAAATCTAGGGAGGGGCTTATAGTTAGGCGGCTAAGCCAAATAATTGTGCAAAAGTTGATAAAAGCATGCAACTTTCCACGATGAATGACCATTGGGTGTTTGTCAATTTTGGATCGGGGGGCAATTCCAAAATTCACAAGTACCCGGATGAGCGGCTTTCTTAAAATATGCTGATTCAGCATTTTTACGTACATCCAAAAGGCAGAAGGAAAAGAAGCTATCTCACGCTGACAATATGCCGCTAACGAACTCCTTTGCGCGAATATGAAAATTGCTTTCTCGTCTCTCTCGGATCGAAAACGACATCCCGCGGAAGGTATGAAAACTGCCTTAGTGTCCCGGTCGGATTGGTAACAATCGTCCGCTGCCAATCATCCGCGGACAAAATCCCTTGAACGAATATGAAAATTGGTTTCTCGTCTCGCTCAGATCGCAAACAAGCTCCCTCTGTAGATATGTAAATTGCCTTCGCGTCTTGCGAATGATCTACAACTGACAATCTCCCGCAAACGTAGCCCCTACTGAACGAATATGAAAATCGACTTTTCCTCTGTCAGCGCTGTCAAGTGATGCTTGAAGGTCTGATAGGTTTTAGCTTTCAGGCAGCCGTCCAAATGGCGGCTGGGCGGTTCGCTGAAAAAAAAAGCCTAATCAAAAATCTTACCCAAGTTGGAAATGTCTTTAGCCTTATTTTTCAAACATAAAGGGGTTACTGCTGACTTATTAGAGATGACTGACTGCTTAATCGAAGAAGAAACTTGATTAACATACCTCCTTTCCTTTTTGTTTTATTACGTTGCCTTCCAAGCGTATAATTCTACTGACATACAATGTATACGTAGATTTCATTCGTTTAAAATCTTTTTCAGTAAAAAAAACATAATTTACCATCTTTTTACCTGCCTTTTCCGTACCGTTTTGGTGGCCCTTTTGCTATTTCTATAAAAATGACTTGCAGATTATGTAAAAGAAAATACTAATACACACTACCTCTGTATTTGTAAACATTCAAATAGACTTTTAAATGAAGAATATACACACACTGTATATAGTTTGATGTAAATTGCTAAAAATTGGCAGCCATTTTGGGTTACAAAAGTGTCCCAGAAGCTACTAAAGCAAAGCTAAGTTGACTTTTCTAACCCAAAAGAATACAATTATTTTTCTAACAATTGCAGAAAACAACACAGGATTGTGCAACTACTGGACCAATTGGAGTGGCAACTTAACCACTTGGAGGGCTTACTCCCTCACCACACATAATTTGAATATTTTACAAGCAGATAATGGTAGTGTAGGATAATCGCTAACGAAAAATCACGATGAAGGGAGAAATCAAAGAAGAATATGCTGTTGATTAGACTGATAATACCAGAAGTATGCTGATTTTCCTGATTTTCTTTACCCTTTTCTCTACCTTGTGTTTTGGCGGCCATTTTTTTCGGTAACAGTGACGTGCTAGGGTGTAGTCTTGTACCCTACAGTGTTCTTCCGCCAGGAACACATTCACAAGAGCCCCAAATAAAGTATATCCGTCAACTTCTGGTTGTTTTTCTATTTTTCCTAAAAATTGACGGCCATATTGAAAAATGCTCAGGAAGTAGCAACCAAACTAATTTCCCTTTCTAGCCCTAAAGGGGGCATTTCTGTGATAAAAAATTACGGGAAAGAAACATTGTAAAGTTAGACTATTGTTCCTATGGGAGAAAGTGGATATTTGTCATTCTATATTGTGCAATATCACCCAGTGACGCCATCGTGACGTCATCATTGCTCTAATAAATGTGCACGGTGAGCGTACGTTTTAAAAATCTATTTATGATATCATAATTAGTGCTGGTAGTGCTCGTTTTGATGAAATCTAAATGTACATAAAATGCTGAGTCAGCATATTTAAGAGAGCCGCTCATCCGGGTACTTGTGAATTTTGGAGTTGCCCCCCCGATCTAAAATTGACAAACACCCAATGGTCATTCATCGTGGAAAGTTTCATGCTTTTATCAACTTTTGCACAATTCTGGAAATAATTTGGACTTAACCGCCGGACTATTAATTACCTATGTAAATTGATGGGAACCGGACTGTCTATCATGTGGGAGTCTGTCACCTCACATCGATATTGTTTCACATATATAAATTTGATAAATTGGTCAACGAGTCGGAAGCACGGCCTACACTATATAAGAAATACTTTTTTCAAATGGAAGAACGCTTTGGATATTGGTGAGATATGTAGAAAAAAATGGCCGCAGGGAAATCCATGGTGATGTTGTTTTTATGCTATTGCGCGGTGCATACAAATCTTAATTGCTTAAAATTGAACACCGGTATTGTACAAAAGAAGCCGCAAAGTTCCTAAAAAATCTTGGACGACAACACATTATTTTCGGTCACAATCGGCCGCACGGGCTCTTACGACCCGTTTGAGTCCAAATTTTGCGGAGAATCTCATGTGCCACGCAAGTCCTTTATGCGAAATTTCGATTTCGCACGTAAGCACGTACAGAGGATATTGAACATTTCCAATAGATAGGCCGCAAGCGTAACTTGCACCCTTCGCAAGGAGTTGCCTGAAGAAAAGACATAGCTGCGTTATCGTAGATTAAAACTGACTTTGCCTTAAGTAAATAAACAAATAAAAGGGCGTATAATATATATACGGTAACAACAGTAGGAGAACGATATTAAGGCTTCGTTCACATGCAATGTCTATTTTCTAAATTCTATTTTCTATTCGCGCTATCTTATGATCACGGTCTGTGCACTGAANGGGGGAGTGGGGGTGGGGGAAGTATTGATGCGGGGGATGTAAAGAAGCGGGGGAGTATCGGTGCGGGGGAGTATCGGTGCGGGGACGTATAGGCATGTAACCACCCTCAAATGCGCACTGCAACACTGTGAAATGTGACAGTTGCAAGGATGAAATACCTTCTTTGATGCAAAGACAAAATAGCCATTTTGTCCATGCTTGATGTGTATATTATTAAGGATATAAATATGGAACTCACAGGAAAGAATTATAGCACAAAAATACAGCTATAGTTGGAGAACCAGTGTGATTGGTTAATTTTTCTGGAATTTTTTTCGTGTGTGTGTGTGTGTGTGCGTGTGTGTGTGTGCGAAAATTAAAATTTTCACGTACTGGCATTATCAAGGTGTGACTTTAAACCTCCATGGGATTGAAGACCTTGGCTAGTCACATTTTCTGAATATCCATGGTAGTTATATTTCATTATTAAAAATTGATGGTCAGTATGCTTAACATGTTATCAAACAAATGCCTTCTTGTTATTGATAGCTCTATAATTATATATCATTTCTTTTGGCTTGCTAAACGTTCTTTTCCTATTTTATTCAATAATTCAGTGAACTGAATGGTGCCTGATTAATAGAAGCCTATGGCGCGTTATTTATTTTTGGTAAAAACAAACCCAGTAAATAAATAACATAACCATTATTGAGGAACGAATTTAAGTTTAAGAACATTTCTTCAAAAAATCACAAACAAGAGATGCATGGAAGAGCTGCACATAAAATTTAAAATGAAACATCGACTATGTTTTAAGTGTCAGTTCTGGGTTGAGAAGAGGGGGGGAGCATGTTTTTGAATAAATTGTATTACAGATAACTTTTAAAATCATGAATTGTGTTTTAGATGTAACTCTAGTTCTGTGCTGTGTAGGAGTAATCAGTGTGCGAGAGTAGTGCTGCAAGGATGTATTTTTTTTTTTTTTAATTTTTATTTAGCAAAAAGTGTTACAGCACGGGATTCAAATTAAGAATTGTGTTTTGGATGTGATGTTTTAACGAATGGGAATATATGAGTAACGGTGTAGGGATGTAGCCATTTTAAACATGTACACACCAGGGGCATATCCAGGATTATTTGAAGGGGGTGTCCGCAGATGTCGTGGGGTTCGGGGCCCGTTGAAGGGCCTCGGAAATTTTTGGTATTTTAGAGGGCAAACAGTACCATTTGGTACGGTTTAGGACTATGATTCAGCTAGTCACAATGCTAATTTCAAGAGGGAACCAGAAATCGAAGGGGGGGCGGGGGTCAGGACCCCCCCCTCTAAATCCGCCACTGCAGACCTTGTCTTTATCTATTCATTTATTATAATTTTTTAATTTTTTTTTTAATTTAACTTGAATTTTTGAAACAAAATTGAGCAGATTGGCTTGTCACAACTGCTTTTGCGACCGTTCAGGTTGGAATATGAATTTTTCCATTTCAGTGGGCCAATTACAGCAAACTGAGAATATGAGAGACCAATACATGGATTTTAAACAACAACCAGAAAATGGTTTCCTATTTTTTTAATTACTACCTTAAAATATGTTGCATTTGTTTAACAACAGTTCATATATTGCAACAGGATATAAAAGCTCAAAAGTAATCTGTAAATGTGAATCTTTCTGGAGGTCCACATTTCACAACCTATTAAAACAAGCTTACTATATATATATATGTATATATTATGCTCTTGCCTGTAAAGCCATGACACTACCAAAGCATTAACAACTCCAATAACAAGATGTTAACAAAAATTTTTCCCCTCATATACTTTTGCTCTAAAATTTCCTTTTTATTAAAAAAGTACAAGCAAAACACTGCAGTCTATATAAAGTAAAATATATTTGATCACAACACTTGTTCTTTACTGAAAAGTTTACCATATTCCTTTCATTGCACACAAAAAGCTCTTTACAAGATAAACGGATGTTTACTATGCCTAAAAGATGAAATATTAGATATAAGTGAGCCAAACTAAAAGTATTGCTGATATTTTGACAACCTTAAATATAAAAAGATGAAACAAAGCATCCTCATGTGTCTTTGGGTCATGTACAGTTGTCACCATCCAATTTTAATTTTAAAATTACTAAAAAATATCATATTAAAGGAATCAGCAGATACCAAGGTCTCGTAACTGTCAGTTATGAAATGATAATTGCACTAATTTAGGCCCAAATCAGTAATAACGATAATAATATGTTATGATTATCTGAATATTTCACTTAGTGTTAACAGAAAAAAAAAATTTCTTAATTGCAAATCATAAATTAAAAAATATATATATTTATCTGAAAGAAAAACATTCCTGAACTAAGCAACACTGATTATTGAAATCAAGTTCAGCAATCTTCCAACTTCAACGTAAATTTTTCAAAATAAGAAATGCATCTATTTAAGCACAATTCTTCAAGTGCAACTTGACAGATGTTAGATAACCTGATAGTTTGCCTGACACTCATGTACTCATTTTAATCTAGTATTAATTGGTTGAGACATCATGAAAAAGTGAGTATAACTTTGTAAAATAACAAATGCATATATTCCTCATAGGAAATGGCATTTATGTTTAGGAACGTTTGGACAAATTTTCAGCCATGGCAAAAAGCTAATAGTTCAATTTGGGACTTTATCCTTAAAAAAAAAAAAAACTTGTTATTTAATTTTTGATTTAAATAAATCTTTCAACAGGTTTCAAACTTAGCATATTATTTGACACATTAAATAATTTACAAGGATGCAAGCTAATAAATAATAAAATATATTAACATAATATATCTAAACACTGTGACCATTTTGTACCTTATATTTTATGTGAAATTACCCATGGTTAACATTATATGAACAATTATGTATGTGGCTGTAACAATGAGTGAAAAATCTTCATATATGAAAATATAAATTATCTTGTATCAAAGTGATATTCAAATTTCAGGATCACATTGCATAATCTAGATTAGAAGTTAAATCAACAGACATGTAACAGCACAACAGCACAGTATTAACCTATATGAATCGTCATTGCCAGTTACACTTGCATTATATAAGTATATAAAGTCATAAATGTGCAATGAGTTTGATTATATTCTTTATGATCAAACTCAACCATTTCCCCAGTTATCAATAAATTAATGTTGAAATGACTAGTAGTGTATATTACAAAAGATACTACAAATACTTATTTCATTATTTTTTTAAAGAAGATCAGTCATTTTGATTTTTTTGCTGTAAAAAATGAATTAAGTGGAAAAAAGATTCCAAATATTTTATAAAGTATTTATTCATAATCCCTTTGCAAATACCTTTCAAGAATATCAAACTTTTGTCAATTAGAAGACATCTCATTCTCGAGAGTCTTGTCTTTTGTCCAGAAACTGCTCTAACAACCACTCATTTCTTGGATATAATTAAAGAAATGTGCAAAAATTATCACAAAATGCACAAACCTTTTTAACAGATATTTATTTAATGAGCCACCAGAAAGATAAGAAAGTATAGCAGTATAATCACAAAAAGTGCATTTCTTTTCAGCAATACAAAAAAAAAAAAAAAAAAAAAAAAAACCATTACCGTACTTTCCCTGAGTATTAAAAGAACTACATTTTCATGGCAAGATGATTTCTAGTATTAAATGCCCTATAACAGTTGACAATACCAGCATACTATTACTTCTTATGAATTTGAACGTAGCAAAGATGGCCATCTGTCTATCTATCTGTCTATCTATCTATATGTAGACATATTACAGTTACTGAAGTTGCAATAAGTCATTATACTATTACTATCAATAAAATACTGCTTGCTTTTTTTTGCTTTTATTAACAGGTGTGACAGTTGTGGAAAATTTCTGTGTTAAGGTTGTTAATTCTGTGACTATTAAAATGATCGCAGTTCTACGCTGCATAATTAAAAGAGAGAAAGATACTCATCAGTGCACCTCATATCTTTTTCTTTTTACGGAGAACTCTGAGACTAAAAGTGACCCAATGTTGCCATAGCTGACTGTCGTATGTGTGGATCTCTGACCATGAAGGTAGCAGCACGTTTGATCTCGGAAGAGGTGAGATTCCCATTGTCATTGTACAGAAAGGCAAGGTCCCCAGCAGGACTGGCTGGCTCTTCTGCTGAAAGTATTCACACAGATTTTAAATGTACAAAAACAATTGGGAATTAGGTGAAAAAGTGTGTTTACTCAACTGAAAGTCTGTGTAATGAATGAATACAGTACGTATTATAAATAATAAAGTAAAAAAATAATATAGTAAAGATCATGTATTAAAGTTTACAAGCCTCATAACAAACAGACACTTGTTTTACCAACTCTGTGAATTCACTTTACAGACCAAAATCGAAAAACTTTCATAATTATTATAAAACTAAAAAAACTTCTCAATATTAAGGTTACATGGGTAAGGGATAAAAAAGAAATTTGCACTTATGACAATATGTATTAGGTGAAACTCTGATGAAGTCCACATATTATGTGGTTATTATTTGCCATATATCAATCATTAAGTGCAAATGTTATTGAAAGTTATTTCCTTTACGTGAAGGTGATACTACTCTTCATCTTCCCTTATTGTAACTATTAGTCTTACCAGATAATCCACATCCAACTTTTGATTAGGTATAGGTAACTGTCATAGATGATTATTAATAATTGTGTGGATTTCTTATTAACCATCTATTAATTTGGATTAATTATTGTAAGTAGCATTTCTAACTAGAGGACAAATATACAGACATAAAACAAATAAATTCAAAGAAACAAATTTAATGACATCTAGGTAAGATAGATGGTGAAATTGCCTCTTTTGCACACAAAAAAATGACAGGGTGTTTTGTATCTGTGTTGTGTATAATACAACCTAACAATGGCTACCTGAAGAGGCTGAGAAGATAATAATGACACAAGGTACTCTTCAAATAAACTTTCATCAAAACGGTTTTGTCTTTAGAGTCCGAATTGGGGAAATATAAGAAGCTTTACAGGACATAAATATGATTGTGGGGGATTTTCAAAAGCGGGAGGAGAATATCTTAATATTGGCAGCAAAATCACATGAAGTGGCCCTTTAAAGGGACAGCTGTGACAGATGGTGACGACACAGGCAGACACAGTGATCAGATTATATACAAATTATATACAAAGTGTCTGTATATAATAAAAAGCAAAATTTTTATTATATATATAGTAAAAACTATGTGCAGTTTTTATTTCACTAAATGTTATTTAGCAAGAATGAAACAATATTTTAATATTGTTAAAACAAAAATCATCTATAAACATAAAGTGTTAAAATATGCATCAGCAAAAATTTCATTTCCTGAATAAATCTTTTAAAATCCTGTCTCATGTTTCACCCTTGAAAATCATAAAATGCCACCAAAGTTTACTAAATGTGCATCATTTTACATGAATATTTAAGTTCAAAAGNGCCATTACTTTCCCTGAGTATTAAAAGAACTACATTTTCATGGCAAGATGATTTCTAGTATTAAATGCCCTATAACAGTTGACAATACCAGCATACTATTAATTCTTATGAATTTGAACGTAGCAAAGATGGCCATCTGTCTATCTATCTATCTATTTATATGTAGACATATTACAGTTACTGAAGTTGCAATTAGTCATTATACTATTTCTATCAATAAAATACTGCTTGCTTTTTTTTTGCTTTTATTAACAGGTGTGACAGTTGTGGAAAACTTCTGTGTTTAGGTTGTTAATTCTGTGACTATTAAAATGATCGCAGTTCTACGCTTATAATTAAAAGAGAGAAAGATACTCATCAGTGCACCTCATATCTTTTTCTTTTTATGGAGAACTCTGAGACTAAAAGTGACCCAATGTTGCCATAGCTGACTGTCGTATGTGTGGATCTCTGACCATGAAGGTAGCAGCACGTTTGATCTCGGAAGAGGTGAGATTCCCATTGTCATTGTACAGAAAGGCAAGGTCCCCAGCAGGACTGGCAGGCTCTTCTGCTGAAAGTATTCACACAGATTTTAAATGCGCAAAAACAATTGGGAATTAGGTGAAAAAGTGTGTTTAATCAACTGAAAGTCTGTGTAATGAATGTATACAGTACGTATTAAAAATAAAAAAGTAAAAAAATAATATAGTAAAGATCATGTATTTAAGTTTACAAGCCTCATAACAAACAGACACTTGTTTTACCAACTCCGTGAATTCACTTTACAGACCAAAATAGAAAAACTTTCATAATTATTATAAAACTAAAAAAACTTCTCAATATTAAGGTTACATGGGTAAGGGATAAAAAAAGAAATTTGCACTTATGAAAATATGTATTAGGTGAAACTCTGATGAAGTCCAAATATTATGTGGTTATTATTTGCCATATATCAATCATTAAGTGCAAATGTTATTGAAAGTTATTTCCTTTACGTGAAGGTGATAATACTCTTCATCTTCCCTAATTGCAACTATTAGTCTTACCAGATAATCCACATCCAACTTTTGATTAGGTATAGGTAACTGTCATAGATGATTATTAATAATTGTGTGGATTTCTTATTAACCATCTATTAATTTGGATTAATTATTGTAAGTAGCATTTCTAACTAGAGGACAAATATACAGACATAAAACAAATAAATTCAAAGAAACAAATTTAATGACATCTAGGTAAGATAGATGTGAAATTGCCTCTTTTGCACACAGAAAAATGACAGGGTGTTTTGCATCTGTGTTGTGTATAATACAACCTAACAATGGCTACCTGAAGAGGCTGAGAAGATAATAATGACACAAGGTACTCTTCAAATAAACTTTCATCAAAACGATTTTATCTTTAGAGTCCGAATTGGGGAAATATAAGAAGCTTTACAGGACATAAATATGATTGTGGGGGATTTTCAAAAGCAGGAGGAGAATATCTTAATATTGGCAGCAAAATCACATGAAGTGGCCCTTTAAAGGGACAGCTGTGACAGATGGTGACGACACAGGCAGACACAGTGATAAGATTATATACAGATGCTAAGTGTCTGTATATAATAAAAAGCAAATTTTTTATTATATATATAGTAAAAACTATGTGCAGTTTTTATTTCACTAAATATGTTATTTAGCAAGAATGAAACAATATTTTAATATTGTTAAAACAAAAATCATCTATAAACACAAAACTATATAAAGTGTTAAAATATGCATCAGCAAAAATTTCATGTTTCACCCTTGAAAATCATAAAATGCCACCAAAGTTTACTAAATGTGCATCATTTTACATGAATATTTAAGTTAAAAAGGTAACAACCTTTCATAATGAAAGTAATGTGCATATTTTACATAAATGTGTCACAAAACAACTTGCAATGTCAAGCATTTAACGATCAGAGCAAAACTAATCCTTTAATTCTACAAAGCAAAAGCAATCATGATGACAATAACTAAATATTGATCATATTAAAACTCAAATGAATTTAAATCATCAAAGTATATAATGTATATATGGGAGATAACATGCACAAGAATTATAAATCAACAGAAATGGTAATGGCACCAACGACTTGTTTGGGTGATAGTGGACATGATATCAATGGAGGCCTGCAATAAAGGGTCAAAAAAAGAAAGTTTAACTAGACAACAATGCTGGCAAATATACAGACACCATACAGGAAACAAGGCAGCAAAGCTGTCAAATTTTCACACATTATGTAGAAAAAAGTGCACAAAATAAATGTTCAATTTGGATGCACTGTTACATACATAATGCTTTAAAACAGCAAAACCACTCTTACCCTCTTACATTATGTACTACAGGTAAAAGGGACATTTATAAATTAGCAAGAATTCAGTCCCATGGGATATAAAAGCCACTGAAAATGCTAATGTGTGAAAAATGAAAATTTCACAAAATTAAAAAAAAAATCAGGTTAGTACCTTAATTTTAGTACTAGGGATCATTTCTTGAGAAAAATAAGTAACACTGCTTTTCTTTTATTGTTTACATTATAATGCACAAAATGATTTTTGTCAATTTTGACACAATATTACATAATGATTGACAGCATTATCACCACTGATTTAAATCATTTACTACAGGTAACGCAGACTTTCAGAAAATGTAACAAGCACAGGTCTGTGTCCTTTTGCCAAGAAAAGCTACGCCCTGGGTAATAAATGATCTAAGAACACAAAGTTTTAATGGTAAAAGATACACTTCTTCAGAAAAAGCCCCCCCCCCCCCCAACACTGCTGGGCATAGGGCTCCATGTCCATGGGATTTCAAAGCCACACATTGAAAATGTCAAAATGTGAACTAAACAGCAAAGCTGACAAATATACAGACACTAAACAGAAACCAGAATAGTTACCATAAATGTAAACTTATTATGCTAATTTTCAAAAGCAACTTGCCTTTTTACTAAACAAAGCTAACAAGTTAATTTAAAGTAAAATAAAAATATGATATGGCAGTTACAGGGCCAATGTCATCAAAATTGTGCAAAAAAACAGAACAATACCGTTCATGTAAACCAATTATGGTGATTTTTTGAAAGCAACCTGCCTCTTTACCAAACAAAGCCACTCAGCAAATTTTAAGTAAAACAAAAATACGGTTTGGTAGTTATGGAACGAATGTCACGTGTCGGACAGCAACTGATCAGATCAGATACAGTATCCATGAATAAAAATAATAGTTTTACAAAAGATGCCTCTGCTATATCAATCCCAGCATTCCTTCTGCAAACCACGTTTGATAGTGAGGTAATCATTTGGTACAATACAAGGGGCAGTTATAACTGATGAGAACTTGGTTTGACTTATTTTGCCTCGTTTAAAGAGAGTCATTGATGACACTGAAAGTGTAACAACTGACAAAAAGCAGCATCATAATGAAGCTGTTCACAAGCTTGCCTGTTGCATGTTGTCATGAAAAAATTAGGCCTACAGACTCCCAAGATTTACATTAATTTTATTTGAATGTTTGGCATAATTACAAAATAATTATGAACCAATAAGTTTTTTTTTTCTTCAGATCATCCGCAAGTCATCTGGAAAAGAGCTAGCAGGTAAAGTTTATCTATTAATCATCTAAATCAGCCAAATGTGGAAACTGTTATCTGTATATTGCAAGTAGCCACTCAAAGGGATTCACTATTGCTCCAATCAAGGTTGTTATCAGCAAGGCTCTCCTGACTGAAGTTTCATCACCCCAATTACACAGATGCACTTCAGCTTGGGCAAAAAACCGGCTGTGCATGAAGAAATGAAAAATAATTACGTTGGTGGACAATCGTCTTTTGAAAAGGTTTTTACCCTGTAGGGCCAGATATATCAGAAAATGACAGTGAGGACGATGACAAAGACAGGTACAGTGATCAGAATATATATACAGAACCATACAGTGTCTGTATATAATAATGGATTTCACAGGCTTCACAGCTAGCCATTACAAAAACTGCAAGCAACATTCTATTTGTACTGCAAACACGACTAGGCAAAACATCAACTGACACTGTTTGCAAGTATCATTTTATATCAAGAGAAAACTCTTAGGTCCTCCTAGCATCAAACTGACTGCAACACCAATTTTACAGGAAAAAATTAATGATTTAAGTCCCAAGACATGCAAAGACTGTTGACCCCAAAAGAACTGTTGACCCCAAAAGAACCTCTTCCATCATCACCATGCATACCTAGATCTGTTAAGAAGCCAAAACAAAATGCTAGGTCACAATTAAAATGGTTGGGGCTTTCGGTTACCTTTCCTGATCATACACTTAAATCAGTCAATAAACCTTTCATCAGTGGAGACAGTTCATTTGGATTAGAACTAAGTACTGAAAGTGGAAAGAAGTGCTGGTAATAAAGGCCGGTTTTCATTTTCAATAGAAAAAAATTATACAGTATGTGGCATGGAGTGAAAAATGAAGAGGTAACCAACAAAGCTACATGGTATTTCTGATGCAAATGAAATTAACACACAAATGATGAAAAAAATATGTGAAAAGAAACCATCCCAAACATATTCCTTTTGTTTTTTCACAGAGATAAATTGTTGAACATTCCCCTTCCTTCTGATTTATCAATTAAATTGAAAAAAAAAAGCAACAAATACAGTTTATTGTCATCATTTCATCCATAGATTTAATATATATTTTACAAAGGCGCAATTCCTACCTGTTGATCTTGCCTTCTTCTTTCTATTTAGCTTCAGTGTTTGGGCCCTTCTCATATAATTCTTCTTTGCATACACTGCATTCTTCATGATGATTGGCATTTGACACTCAATCTTTTGTTCTGACGCAACAGTTTCAAAGTATCCTTGAAAATAATAACATTAAGAAAATAAGCTTCTGATATCACAAATGTAATAGTAATAACTACTTATAAATTTTGTAAAGCCAACAGATGGATGGGACACATCACTTATCACTTATTCTAAGACATGTATGACAATACTCATAAGTTGGGTACAACAGTTTTAGCCATTTTCTCAAAACTATGACTTAATCTCTTTGCTACATTCATGAAAGAAAAAAGGTAATAATGAAACAGAAACATTATATTCAGAAAACTATAGTTAACTTATGCAAGCAAAAAATTAACAACAGCAAATTTTGAGACTAAAATGCAGGGATGTGATTTGTGGGGGTGAGGGAACATGAAAATTAATGATGGTGTGCAGATATCCCAGAAAATTTACAAAATGAAGTTAAAAAACCTAAAAAAAAAAATCACATCCCTGAAAATGGCTCCAAAACATACATCTAAGATTCAATGCGATAAGATAAAAACACACTTTTCAGCTTTGCAACATCAGTAACCATTTCTTCCTTGGTCTCATCTGAATACTTGTTCCCTCCTTCAATTACAGCCTTCCCAAGTCTGGACAGAGCCTCCTCCGCTTGCTTCAGCTGCTTTTCTGCTTCAATCCTAGCTTGTACTTCTTCCTGTTAAAAGAAAAAACATAATAATCATAGTGGTGATTAAGTTTCTATTATTTCTCATACGTATGTTAGTGTTAATCCTAATAATAATGCTGGATACAAAAATAACATTTAGCCAAACCTCATTTGAACAATCAAGATGGGAAAATAGTATACTGGCCCTACCTTCAACTCCTTTTCTGCAGTTTCTTTTTGAGAAATAAGGTCCTGTAAAAATAATCACAATCATGTTAGGAACCATGTAAGCAATCATTTGAAAGCAACAGTTATGACTGATAATATATTTAAGTAAATTTACGCATGCAGAAATCTGAAGCTAAATCAAAAGTGTTCAAAAGAAAACAATCCAGATAAATAATTTATATATAACTACTAAAAATATATTTAACTACTGAAAGTAAACATCATATTAATAAAATAAAAAAAATATGCCTTAAGCATGGTGATGTAAAAGTATCAATGAAATGTATTTAATGAAAAAAATTCTGAAGTGCCCATACCTTATAACAGGTCTATCAATTCCCCAAAGTTTTAAGCAATAAGAAAAAATTGAAATCATCCCTTAACCCAGACCTATTAAAATTCCTAAAGGCCCATGCATTATTCTGATAATACATCTGTCAATTCTCAAAGTTTCAAGTTCCCCTATCTGGAGATAGCAGAAGTGTGAAAGAATCAGAACCCCCCCCCCCAGAAATAATAATAATAATAATTATAATAATAATAATAATAAAATAATAGTAATTATTATTATAATAAAAATAATAAATAAAAATAAAGATAGTCCCATCCCAAGTGACACTAAATTTTCTGAAGTGCCCATGCACAACCTTCTTTAACCATATCTCACTTTTGTCAGGTCTTATTGACAAAAATTATTGTACCTTGATAGATTCCTGAAGTTCTTTTGCTTGCTCATTATAGGCTTGCTTTTCTTCCTCTAACATCTTTGTCTGCTCTTCCCTCTCCTTTAATCTGCAGAAATATAATTCAAATATAGTAATTTTTACTTTGACACATTTAATCAGTTCAACTCTTTCTTTAACAGTCTAATACATCAATTTATCTTCAATATGAAAAATATATCATATATATATGTGAACTTAGACCAAATTTCCATTATATCAGTTTTGCTTGAACTGAATAGATACAAAGCACTTATGTAGAATCAGCCTGCCTGTAAGTAACACACAGTCAAAATATGTAAGTAAAATATAAACATGAATTTTCACAACGAAGAAAGTTGAAGCCACTCTCAGTTTCAGGTATTACACTACATACTTCATCTCTGCATCCATTTTTTCAGACATTACAAGCTTGGTTCGTTCCTCAATTAAATGCAAACTGTTTTTTAGTTCCTCTGATGTTTGATGCAAACTATAATTCTCTAGAGTCAGTTTCTCTGAGACAGATGCATGTCTCTGAAGCTCTTGAAGAGCTTTCTCTTTCTCTTCATCTACAGATTTCATACTATTTTTCAGATCTTCTGTAGTCTGTGATAAGTTGACATTTTCCTCTGTTAGTTTCTGAGAAACTTCCTCTCTCTCTTTTAATTCATTTAAGACCTTTTGTTTTTCCTTGGCTAAATCCTACAAGAAAGACAAAAAACTATCATATATAAACAAAAATAAACAAAATGCTTCTCTAAATGTACAAATGTAATATCTGTTGTATTGTGAAAAAGTCTATAATTCTTTTTGTTGACTTGAACATTGGTACAGAGAGCTCCACCTCTATATCAAATATTTAAATATGTTCACCTCTAAGTGTTGTTGTAGTTTTTCTGATGTTTCATGCAGGTGCTGTTTATCCTCTTCCACTTTCCTCATAAACTGTACCGTTTCATCTAATTCACTAAAATAACATTTAAATGCCACAATTAACTGGACTGTGTATAAAACAAAATTATGCTAGGAGAGTCCTCTTCCACTTTCCTCATAAACTGTACCGTTTCATCTAATTCACTAAAATAACATTTAAATGCCACAATTAACTGGACTGTGTATAAAACAAAATTATGCTAGGAGAGCCAAACTATTTGGAGCTTAGGGAAAAATAAAACATGTTACCACTTAGAATATTAAAATATTAACTGGCAGGCACATGTAACAGTACCAATTTTCCTCCCAAGCGTAATTTTAAACAAATTACAAAAGTTAATACAAAAATACTTACTTTTTGATTTTTTCATATTCCTCTCTCAGACCCTTTGTAAATTCTTCCAACTCTTGTTTTTCCTTTTCTAACTCTTCTTTTACTCTTTGCAATTCCTGAGAAATAAAGTTTACATCAGTTAAATCAATTTTTATCATTTTTTCAAAGTAACATATTTAAATATTAAAATTCCTATTAACTTTTTAAAACTAGACCATCGGAGAGGAAAATACATCAGCTGGCTAAGAAACAAAGAAGATATTCCAAACAAAAAATAACTGAAAAGAGCTATTGACAGTTTTCAATTTTGGCATGGTTGATGCAAATGCGAAAAATGTATTTTTTTCTAACCAGTAACTCAGGCTGCACATGGGAATAACCAATGTATAGACTAATGAAGTTTATTTTTTGAAATACAAACTTTAAACTGGAAAAGAGTTATAACCTTCCTCAGTTGTGCTTGTTTATTCTGTTCAATTTCTGTCACAACTATGACCTTTTTACTTTGATAATTGAGATAACACAATTCTGAAGTTGGGAGACTGAGTATACTGCCCAGATATATCCTTTTCTCTACATAACTTTGAAGTTGCCCATTTTACAGATGGATCATCAGTTTTTCATACTTTATTTTTCCATGGCATTCTTCATTATTGTAGTTGACAACTTAAAACAAACAACCTATTTCAGAAGACGAACTATCTCCCTGAATTTCAGACAGACTTTTATTTAGTGCTGCATACTTCCTAACTTGATTTTATATGTAGTTATATGTAGTGCGACAATCATCAGCTCTTGTTGTCTGCAAAATTAATTCATGTTGAACATGCTATTTGAAAACAACCAGTCCTAGGTTTGTGAAATTTATGATTCAACTGACCTTTAAAAGATAAGATTTTTTACAGATACCACTAACGGGCAGCCATCACATATACACACTCTTCTCCGCAGTGTAAAGACTGGCTCATCCTCAGAATTGTCTGGATATCTATGACACAGCCTGGGCCACATACATGTATAAATCTATTTTTATCTCTTCATGTATACTATACCTCTCTTTGTTCTTTTTCGTCTTGTAGAGCTGAAGCCTCTGTTTGTAGCTGATCTGCAAAAGAAATTCAACAGTTACATCTCTTGTTAATGCAAAACAGCAAAGCTGTCAAATTGACAGACATATGACAAAACTGACAGAAGCAGTGGCATTAAAGCAATAATAAAAGTGCACAATGGTTGATCCATGTAGAACAATGGTGTCTTTGCCTTTGGGAATGGGGTCTAAGTAATATATTCTTCCTTTTGTGGTGTTTACGATGAGAGTGCATAGCAACACTGATGGTAACAACAGACACAAGTGAAGGCAAAATATCCAGACACAGTGTCTGTTCATGAAAGTAGCAGACACCAGGTAGATTTTGTTCTAATAACATTACATTACCAATATTAACAAGATTTAAAAAATTAAACTTACAAATTAACATAAATTCATCACATAAGGTGCAAATTCAAAATGGGCAAATTAAAAAGAATCCTGACTGGGTTATGGAACACCTTGGACTTTTTTCAACTTTGTACAGCCTGTGTTTGCACAGCCTGGATAAAACAGCAACATGAAAGTGACCTTTTATAGGGCCTGACACAAACTATTTTTCAGGCACTTGCCACATGTGAACCTATTTATTGTTATTTCATACAGCACTGTGTATAGGCACTTTGTCTCTGCAACATGCGCGGTGTTGTCTGTGTTGGAATGAAATGTGTGTGTGTGTGTGTGTGTGTGTGNAAACTATTTGGAGCTTAGGGAAAAATAAAACATGTTACCACTTAGAATATTAAAATATTAACTGGCAGGCACATGTAACAGTACCAATTTTCCTCCCAAGCGTAATTCTAAACAAATTACAAAAGTTAATACAAAAATACTTACTTTTTGATTTTTTCATATTCCTCTCTCAGACCCTTTGTAAATTCTTCCAACTCTTGTTTTTCCTTTTCTAACTCTTCTTTTACTCTTTGCAATTCCTGAAAAATAAAGTTTACATCAGTTAAATCAATTTTTATCATTTTTTCAAAGTAACATATTTAAATATTAAAATTCCTATTAACTTTTTAAAACTAGACCATCGGAGAGGAAAATACATCAGCTGGCTAAGAAACAAAGAAGATATTCCAAACAAAAAATAACTGAAAAGAGCTATTGACAGTTTTCAATTTTGGCATGGTTGATGCAAATGCGAAAAATGTATTTTTTTCTAACCAGTAACTCAGGCTGCACATGGGAATAACCAATGTATAGACTAATGAAGTTTATTTTTTGAAATACAAACTTTAAACTGGAAAAGAGTTATAACCTTCCTCAGTTGTGCTTGTTTATTCTGTTCAATTTCTGTCACAACTATGACCTTTTTACTTTGATAATTGAGATAACACAATTCTGAAGTTGGGAGACTGAGTATACTGCCCAGATATATCCTTTTCTCTACATAACTTTGAAGTTGCCCATTTTACAGATGGATCATCAGTTTTTCATACTTTATTTTTCCATGGCATTCTTCATTATTGTAGTTGACAACTTAAAACAAACAACCTATTTCAGAAGACGAACTATCTCCCTGAATTTCAGACAGACTTTTATTTAGTGCTGCATACTTCCTAACTTGATTTTATATGTAGTTATATGTAGTGCGACAATCATCAGCTCTTGTTGTCTGCAAAATTAATTCATGTTGAACATGCTATTTGAAAACAACCAGTCCTAGGTTTGTGAAATTTATGATTCAACTGACCTTTAAAAGATAAGATTTTTTACAGATACCACTAACGGGCAGCCATCACATATACACACTCTTCTCCGCAGTGTAAAGACTGGCTCATCCTCAGAATTGTCTGGATATCTATGACACAGCCTGGGCCACATACATGTATAAATCTATTTTTATCTCTTCATGTATACTATACCTCTCTTTGTTCTTTTTCGTCTTGTAGAGCTGAAGCCTCTGTTTGTAGCTGATCTGCAAAAGAAATTCAACAGTTACATCTCTTGTTAATGCAAAACAGCAAAGCTGTCAAATTGACAGACATATGACAAAACTGACAGAAGCAGTGGCATTAAAGCAATAATAAAAGTGCACAATGGTTGATCCATGTAGAACAATGGTGTCTTTGCCTTTGGGAATGGGGTCTAAGTAATATATTCTTCCTTTTGTGGTGTTTACGATGAGAGTGCATAGCAACACTGATGGTAACAACAGACACAAGTGAAGGCAAAATATCCAGACACAGTGTCTGTTCATGAAAGTAGCAGACACCAGGTAGATTTTGTTCTAATAACATTACATTACCAATATTAACAAGATTTAAAAAATTAAACTTACAAATTAACATAAATTCATCACATAAGGTGCAAATTCAAAATGGGCAAATTAAAAAGAATCCTGACTGGGTTATGGAACACCTTGGACTTTTTTCAACTTTGTACAGCCTGTGTTTGCACAGCCTGGATAAAACAGCAACATGAAAGTGACCTTTTATAGGGCCTGACACAAACTATTTTTCAGGCACTTGCCACATGTGAACCTATTTATTGTTATTTCATACAGCACTGTGTATAGGCACTTTGTCTCTGCAACATGCGCGGTGTTGTCTGTGTTGGAATGAAATGTGTGTGTGTGTGTGTGTGTGTGTGGGGGGGGGGGGGTTCTAGTTTAAGGCTTCGTTCACATGCAATGTCTATTTTCTAAATTCTATTTTCTATTCGCGCTATCTTATGATCACGGTCTGTGCCCTGAATATCCCGCCGCGTAATTACTGGCAGCGCGAGCCAGTTACTTATAGTAACTTATAGTAACTGGCTTGTGCTGCCAGTAATTACATTTACCAGTAAAAACATTTAAGTAGGCATGATTATTCTTGATTTCTCAGGAATTGATGGCAATAATCTGGGAAGTGAATTTTCTTTCAGGATATTGTAGAGACTATTGTTACACTGAAATAAAAATCCAAATCTCTGATTGTGAAATGGGAAAATTTTTTTTTTGGAGGGGGTGGGAGTTTGTCAATTCATAATTAAAAGAGCCTGAACATGTGAATAAGGTTAAAGAGTACATTTTTCAGATGAAAAGAGAATATATCTCATATCCTATTGTACACAATTACATCAGAAGAATTCCAAATGAATTTTTACATAATTTTTCATTTATTGCAATTATGTGAAGAACCCTTATAGTTTATATGGTACAAAATATTGTTGTCAATCACCAAAAAGACCTACCACCATCATAAATATTGTGAAAACATGATCAATCCCTTGGTTAGAGGGGATCTTGAAATTTTCCCTGAAATTCTGCAAAATTTCTCATTAATACTAAGGCATACCTGACACAAATTCACTGAGAAAATAAAGATCCATAATTCAAGGTCATTCCATAATCCAGGGTAGGAGTCAACTGACAATGTACCCTGGTGTCTGTTATGACGTTCTTCCAGAATTGGCAGGCTAAATAATAAAATTACCCCTATGCTTTAGCAGNTTTTAAACAAATTACAAAAGTTAATACAAAAATACTTACTTTTTGATTTTTTCATATTCCTCTCTCAGACCCTTTGTAAATTCTTCCAACTCTTGTTTTTCCTTTTCTAACTCTTCTTTTACTCTTTGCAATTCCTGAGAAATAAAGTTTACATCAGTTAAATCAATTTTTATCATTTTTTCAAAGTAACATATTTAAATATTAAAATTCCTATTAACTTTTTAAAACTAGACCAAAGAAGAGGATATATATTAGCTGGATAAGAAACAAAGAAGATATTCCAAACAAAAAATAACTGAAAAGAGCTATTGACAGTTTTCAATTTGGCATGGTTGATGCACATGCGAAAAATGTATTTTTTTCTAACCAGTAATTCAGGCTGCACATGGGAATAACCAATGTATAGACTAATGAAGTTTATTTTTTGAAATACAAACTTTAAACTGGAAAAGAGTTACAACCTTCCTCAGTTGTGCTTGTTTATTCTGTTCAATTTCTGTCACAACTATGACCTTTTTACTTTGATAATTGAGATAACACAATTCTTAAGTTGGGAGACTGAGTATACTGCCCAGATATATCCTTTTCTCTACATAACTTTGAAGTTGCCCATTTTACAGATGGATCACTGAGGAATAAAGTTTTCATACTTTATTTTTCCATGGCATTCTTCATTGTTGTAGTTGACAACTTAAAACAAACAACCTATTTCAGAAGCAGAACTATCTCCCTGAATTTCAGACAGACTTTTATTTAGTGCTGCATACTTCCTAACTTGATTTTAAATGTAGTTATATGTAGTTATATGTAGTGCGACAATCATCAGCTCTTGTTGTCTGCAAAATAAATTCATGTTGAATATGCTATTTGAAAACAACCAGTCCTAGGTTTGTGAAATTTATGATTCAACTGACCTTAAAAGATTAGATTTTTTACAGATACCACTTATGGGTAGCCATCACATATACACACTCTTCTCCGCAGTGTAAAGACTGGCTCATCCTCAGAATTGTCTGGATATCTATGACACAGCCTGGGCCATATACATGTATAAATCTATTTTTATCTCTTCATGTATACTATACCTCTCTTTGTTCTTTTTCGTCTTGCAGAGCTGAAGCCTCTGTTTGTAGCTGATCTGCAAAAGAAATTCAACAGTTACATCTCTTGTTAATGCAAAGCAGTCAAATTGACAGACATATGAATGACAAAACTGACAGAAGCAATGGCATTAAAGCAATAATAAAAGTGCACAATGGTTGATCCATGTAGAACAATGGTGTCTTTGCCTTTGGGAATGGGGTCCAAGTAATACATTCTTCCTTTTATGGTGTTTACAGCAACACTAATGGTAACAACAGACACAAGTGAAGGCAAAATATCCAGACGTAGTGTCTGTTCATGAAAATAGCAGACACCAAAATGCTACAGGTAGATTGTGTTCTAATAACATTACAAGTGATTACTACATTAACAAGATTAAAAAAATTAAACTTGCAAATTTACACATACTCATCACATAAGGTGCAAATTCAAAATGAGCAAATTAAAAAGAATCCTGACTGGATTATGGAACAACTTGGACTTTTTTCAACTTTGCACAGCCTGGATAAAACAGCAACATGAAAGTGACCTTTTATAGGGCTTGACACAAACTATTTTTCAGGCACTTGCCACGTGTGAACCTATTTGTTATTCCATACAGCACTGTGTATAGCCACTTTGTCTCTGCAACATGCTCCGTGTTGTCTGTGTTGGAATGAAATGTGTGTGTGTGTGTGTGTGTGTGTGTGTGTGTGTGTGTGTGGGGGGGGGGGGTTGTAGTTTAAGTATGATAGATAGTTATACTGAATAAAACAGTACCTACATAATGCAGAAGATAAGATATTCTTGTACCAAAGGACCACACCTTAGATTGCTTCTCTTAATTACAGAGGGTTAGGGGAAAAAAAAAAACATGGATATGTTTTAAAATTTTTATGTGAAAGGAAGGCCTCCATTTATTGCTTGCAGGACACACATTTAATAAATTCTAATAACGAGGTTATACACGCACAGTGGGGGTTAGAAAAAGTGTTGACAGCAGAGAAAACTGACTCTCGAGAGGTGATGAATTTGTAACTTTGAATTTAAGTTAAATAGGATTACAAAAGAAGATGCAAGCAATTTACTGTAGAAACAAAAATTGAAAATAAAATTTCAGTAACATTAATTAATATTTATTTCACTAGAATTCTATAAAAGGGTGTAGTACATCTGTAAAGAACATGTATCTGAATTCATGATTTTATGTGAAGATTGCAAAATGCAAAATTTTGAATTGGATTGCTTTAATTATACCTCACATAACAATCAAAACAGCTGCAAAATTGTGGAAGGCCTAAAACATAAATTTAATCTAGTTGACCAAAGAAGTGTAAAAAATACAAATAAAAAATGGTATACATGGCAAAGAAAAAAAACATTAAAGTAGGCATGATTAGACTTATTCTTGATTTCTCAGGTCTGGGAAGTGAATTTTCTTTTAGGATATTGTAGAAACTATTGTTACACTGAAATAAAAATCCAAATCTCTGATTGTGAAATGGGAAGATTTCTTTTTTTTTTTTTTTTGGGGGGGGGGGGGGGGGGTTATCAATTCACAATTAAAATAGCCTGAACATGTGAATAAGGTTAAAGAGTACATTTTTCGGATGAAAAGAGAATATTTCTCATATCCTATTGTACATAATTACATCACAAGAATTCCAAATGAATTTTTACATAATTGTTCATTTATTGCAATTATGTGAAGAACTTTTGTAGTTTGTATGGTACAAAATATTGTTGTCAATCACTACAAAGACCTACGACCATCATAAATATTGTGAAAACATAATCAATCCCTTGGTTAGAGGGGATCTTGAAATATTCCCTGAAATTCTGCAAAATTTCTCATTAATACTAAGACATACCTGACACAAATTCACTGAGAAAATAAAGATCCATAATTCAAGGTCATTCCATAATCCAGGGTAGGAGTCAACTGACAATGTACCCTGGTGTCTGTTATGACATTCTTCCAGAATTGGCAGTCAAAATAATAAAATTACCCCTATACTTTAGGAAAGATAAACAATCATCATTGTTCATGCACATTGCTGATTATAGTAAATCACAACTATATAAGTTGTTATATATAAATTAATAAATAAAAAGGTTAATTGCTCATTTCTTTATTGCACACATAGATTTCTTTTGAATGTACCATAGTAATCCTGTTTTTCCCTGGCCATCTGAAGCCCTTGATTTTCAAGCTGTTGGATCATGGCTTCTCCCAGCTGAGCATTGCGCCAGGTGCTGAAGAAAGAAAGTATCCTTTTAAATGTTCTTGTTCAAAATTGTTTAACCTAGGTGTAAGTGCATGATGAGTTGTGTTTTCATTCATGGCACAAAGTCAGCAGGCAGTCACTTATTATAAAGGGGAAAGGAACATCATTGATCGTAATCTTTCTTTAGCGTGGTTGATGTATTCAGTGTAATTACCTTGGGCTTGTTGCACTTGGGAATGACTAATAAGAAGAGTGATAAACACAGCGAGGAAACTGATGGCCCATGCTGCTAGTTACATAGTTTTTCCAGACAACACCTTAATATTTGACTCAGCATACAAAAATAGCAGCAGTTCAGACTGACAAGGATGCAAAGAACAGATTATGCAAAGTTGAAATCAATATTTTGGATTTGAAGGCATAACCAACACTGCCACCAATGCTGATATCTGCTTTGTGCTTTGAGCACAGTTACAAAAAACTTTTAATAGGAGGAATAACACATAATAGTGCATTTTAAATTTCAATTCTTAGCTGTAATTGTAAGGATTTAAGTGCGAAAAATCTGTGCTGATCACAAAAATATATAACTATTGAGCTTAAAAAATGAGTCCTCTATATACTTGATCAGAAAGTAAATAGCTACGTGGTTATGTGGTTGGGTAATGTAACAGGGGCTGATGCCGTCTCAGAGGAGAGGGAGCTAGCACAATTAACTATCAAACTGAGCTGAATTTATTTCTATGGGAATTCAAAGTCACTTCTAACGTGTGTTTATGTAACCTCATTCAACACCCACTTGATGATTAATATGGCAAGTGATAGCTTTATAATTACCCAAGGGACAATTAAATATACTGATCAACCCACATATATAAAAACTACATGTATTTATGGCAAAGGAGGATTCCACACAGAAAAAAAGCAAAACTTAATGAAAAGTATTCCAAACAGGCTGATTTTTTAATAACTCAGCATTAGCTGTGGGATGGGGAATAATACTTACTTGGATTCTCCCAAATAGGTGAGATAATTGACTGATATAATCTAATCCGTCACATCAGTGACTGATTCAGTGCTTCAAAAATTGTCTGTAATTAACTCACAGCCAGTGCTTTCAACAACGGAATAATTGCACTTGTATTTTGTTTACAAGTTTGCTGTTATTTTCAAAGGCATTTGTGCATTTATCCTACAGATTGAAGAGTGAGAAATTACACCACCATTGGCTGCTGTTAAGCTTAATTTCCAACAACCAGATTTTTTTACAACTTGCATTAAAATAGTTACACATACTGATTTTGCTGAAATATACTATAGTCTATCATATACCAAAAAATCAAATATCATTTTCAGTAAATTACTTACATTCGAGACGACTGTCTTAATACATTTAGCCATTTTTCCTGCTCCATCTCAGTTTCTGCTGCAATCACCACTACACCCTGTTTGAAGATGAGACATAAAACTCAGTAAGTTCTAAAACAAAACCTTGATAGCTAAGCTGGCCAAATACACAGACACCGAAAGAAACTAGTTTTAATTTTCTAACTCAACCTGCCTTTTTATTAAATACTTTATAAATCTAGAATAAAACAAAAATATGATTTGGCACTTATGGGTGAACACTGAAAGAGTATATTAAAAAATCTAATTACTTTGTGATAATAATTAAATCATGTTTAGTTAAGTCACCATGGTTTGGTGTCCATGAGCATAGTGTTGGACCTCAAACTATTTGTCCAGCTTCCATCCAGAAGAATGATAGAATTTCTTGATAATTTACTTAAAGCATAACATCAGTTTTACTGACCTCCCCAATGACAACTGCTTGTGGCACATTTTGCCTTCAAGTTCAAGTATACATGTAAAATGCACATGGTTGAACAGGGCATGAAAAAATGCTGGACTTAAACTTATACAAAAATGCCTAAGCTGTTTTCAAGGTGTGCGTCAGTACGCATTTCACAGTATCATACCCCGGAACAAATTTTGAGACGAGATGTACTACTTTCCAACCCCGTTCAGAATCATCGCTATCACATCCCGTACTAGGCAAGAGTAGTGTCGCGTCTGATACCTGGAAACGCGTACTGATGCACACCTTGAAAACGGGTAGTGCAGTCCGATCTACTGGTGAATTCAGGATCATTGAGTGCCGAGTCCAGTAGTTGGGTAGGCCTGAATTATTGCTTATGTCTAAGAAAGTACTGGAGTTTAGACATGTGCCTGATTCCAAAGACATCTAAAGGGTATTACAAGAAATATCACAATCGAGAACTACTGGTTGTATGACTCACATCAAAGTCCTCATCGTTTTTGATATGTATACTATGAATGTGTCCTGGCTCTTTTGCAGGTTCTATAGTACAGCCACCAAGGGGCAATGCTCCCTGAAACAAATTTTTTAACACAGTTACAGACTGGTAGAAACTGTAATATCTGTTTGACTAAAACCTGCCTTCACTGTTATTTCCCAGTAGGAAAAATAATACTTTTCTGACTAATAATGGGTCATTTTTTAAAACCAAATCCATGTGTTTTACCTTAGGATGAATGCTAAATCTTTTCCTTTTTTTCAGGTCTTTCATTTCCACTTCACTGTAGTATAAAAGAAAGCCATCTTTGACAATAAAAAACCTAAAATTAGAAACAAGGAGAAAAGAACAAGTAAATCATTTTTCAAAAGGGTGCAGAGTATCATTTCAAAACACTTTTTGACAATATATGAATTTTGTAATTTTTGAAAACTGATCATTATCAGCATCACTAAATAAGTGTCTTATCGCTGGATTATTTTTATCAAACTATTTCCAGTAAATATATCATTAGATTTAATTATTTCGCCTTTCAGTGCTTTTTATATATTAGTTTTAGGCAGTAGACAAAGTATCCCTCCGAAATACCTACTTGACTTTTCAAAACTCGGCATTTTCAAATTACTTTACATTCTTCGAAAAAGTTTTTATATATTAAATAGTAAATAATTGCAATTTTATGCGTTGGTTAAAATTTTTTAAAATTCTACCAGGAGAGCAAAAGGGGCGTCTGGATAGTCTGAAGGTTCACTGGTCCGAAAAGTGGTAACATTTTCATCGATTTTTTAATCAAGGGTTCATTGGTCCGAAAGTTCTATAGTGAATAATCGGACCAAAGAACCTTTGGGCTATTGCTACGGCCCCAGAGCAAATCAGTCACTACATGGTAAACATTTACCTGGTTATGATAATTGGGTATTTTTGCAGTATCCCCCCCACCCTCTGTAAGTATCTAATTGGTAATGCTAATCAAATAAAGTTATGTGGTGACATTGATCAATGTCTCTGCTATTCAAATAAATTAGTTTGGAAACTGGACAATAAACCACTTACAGTCCACTGGTATTCCTTTTTCACAACCTTTCTAAATACTGTGAATGCTTTATCTCATCAAAAAAGTTTGGATTTAGTAAAAAATGGGATTAAATAAGTGAGGTATCCATCATGGAGGGCCGCCAAAATTGGGTCTTGTGAAGTTACACTTTCCTAGACTGAATTAAATATGTGATAAAAAGTGTCATAGTGTATAATTATTGAAACTGATTACCACATACATTTGCCGCAAATACTTTTAATTATTAAAATAATTCATCAGTTGATTCGTTCATTAACTCTGAACCAGAGAGCTTATCAGAAAAAATTATGAGACTGCATCAGTGTAAATTACCTCTTAGACCATTTGTTCGACTGATGTCCAACTGGTCGTTTGTGCAAAATGCCATGAAGTTGTGCCTTTGCAAAGACATCGAAAGTGCCTTCACTTGTTGGCATTTTCCAGAGTCTAAATGGGTCTTATGGAAATAGTAAACATTTACACGACTTCCGCGTAGACTACTTCCACCCACAGTCTCTTAAAATCTCGAAATTTCTCGACTAAAATTCCATGACGTCAATATTAGAGATCCGGATTGAACCGGTATTTTTTCTGACGTCATAAAAGTGTCGGTGGGCCTCATCACTACTCTTATATTTTTGGCATTAAATTTGCGCAACGTGCAAATATGAAATAAGAAGCAAAGTGCAAATATCGGGGATGTGTCTTATCAAAATACCATATTCTTGAGAAAAGAATATATTATACTTTGGAACCTTAAGGTTTGTTCAAGATAGAGTTAGAAAAGTGTGGACTATTTTCGGAGAGAATGCGTAGAAACACAGTGATAAGGCCAAATATCTCGTATAAATAGTACATGATGCACAAATAAAAACAGTTCAACGCAAGGCGTTGTCTAGGCGAGCATATGTAGTGATACTAGTTTGAGTAGTGTTAATTCTTGCGTTGAACTCGCGTCTTTTATTTTTTGCTTATATTGTATTGAGGAGAAAGTAATGCTTTCTAACATTTCGTTGGTGTTAAGTAGTTTTTTCTGAGATGATTGGAATAGGTGTATGCAGAGTTCTTGTACTGGTAGATGATACTTGGAAGTTAAAGGATAATGGATAATGTTTTGGTGTAATCTCTTCTGCTAATAACCACATATGGTTATTACTGTAACCTAATATTTTGCCATGCGAATGCTTGGTATATTTATTTAGGCATGGGTCTATTTGCCCTTGGCCATAATGGCTTCACGTCGGAGCAGGTGGAGGCAAGTTGGGACAACAAACCTTTCAGGTTAGCACATCTAAGATTCATGGGAGTAATAAGTCGGTACTAAATGGACGTGAGACGTGTTGAAATGCTGTAGAACTTCATCAGTACGGTATGTACAAGTATAAGGATTATATTGGAATTGGATGTTATCATGAACTAAAGAACTGTTGCCCTTGCATTTATTTATTATCAGGTAAAGGAGGCGCGTAAGTGAAAAACAGATCAAGAGAGAAATGTTTGATTTAATTTGAGAAATAAGTTAAACTATAGATCGATTCATGTACCGTTTGATTATTTCATAAATAATACTGCTTTTTTGTTATTTCAATTTGTCGTCAGTGTTCTGTTCATTTTATCTAAATATGGCTGTGTGAGCTGAAATAAGTTTAAGATTAGATGCACCCCTCCATTTTGGGGGACCGTTTCTTTGTTCTTTTGACATTTTGAGCAGGAACTGAAGCTAAAAACCAAGGTATCTAGGTTGTGTGTCCAGACACCAAAATACGGTCCAAAGCTTATTCCTCCCTGTCGCCATTTGTGGTCACCTTGTGTGTAAGCTTGCAGTCCTCAATGCCCAGTTAATCTGAAGATTCCAAAAATTGCCTGTTCAGGGTATTCCTGCAGTGGTAAATTTTTGAAGTAATTCAAATATGTGGTGCTTTTATGTTGGTTTGTAGGATTAGAATAATAGATGCCATTAATTCTACTTAAATGTATGTAAGCTAAGATATTCTGATATTAGCATGTGATTAAACCTAAAATTATTCAAATAATGAAATGTTGCATGGTAATTGCTTTTTGCTGCTCCAAAGAGGGGCGTTATTTTACTTCTTTTGCCCAAAAGGTGTATTGACAGGTTGTGGGATTCATTTGTGTGCACAGAAGATGTGAATATTGCAAGCTATCTCGCACTGAAGAGGCATTCTCGTGTCATCAGTTTCTTGTCTTTGTAATAGTAAGATATCTAGTTTAGTTTGTGTGCTGTGTTCACCCTACCATTTTCTATTAATACTGAATATCTTACATTGTGAATGTCTTATTTCAATACTTGTTTATTAGTGTTTAACACTGGATAATTTTGTTGGGTTGTAAACTATAAACCATAGAATCCACATTCTTCCAGCAGGAAGTTGCTTTTTTTCTTTTTTCACAGCATTATTTTGTTCCTGGAGTGAGGCACTGCTTGTAAGCCCCGTCCTCCTAATTTAATGATCAAGCCTTGGGTATGTTCTTATTGATCTTTTCCTTATATTATAGGTGTCTGATTACATTTCAAATGTTATGTATTAATGAGAGGTAAAGTTGCCTTTAATTAGTGGTCAGTAAAATTCAGTTCTCTGCTTTACCTATTATTGTGCCTAATATGGGGTGGGTGGGCTATGCTATAATCATCTTGTAGTCTCCTTGTTAGCCGGACAAGCTAAATGCTCTCTGACCCATATGGAACACAGGAATAAGCAAGACTGAAGAGAAAAATACAGCAATTGATAAGTATTGCTTTGCAAGCTGAAGTTAAGTCAAAGTACGGTGTTAATGCATCTTTGTCTTAAATTAATAATATACCATTATAATTCGGATCTAACATCATATGTCGATTTATCAAAGTAAGATTTAAACTAGTGCAATTCCATGAAGGTCATTGATGAAAGGTTAGTCTGAACAACTTAATGTTGAGCATGTTTTGATTATTTCATTTTTGGGTGGGTGGGTTTCACTTATAGTGCTATTTTCTTGTTGAAAGAATTTGTGAAAGGTCCCAGTAGCCCAACAGAAAATCTGAGAAGCAAACAAGCGCAGGTTTGAGAGAGTTCTTAATTAATATTCATTTTTATAATATTTCAATTAACTTGCAACCTTGGTTGTTCATTTAGTCTTTGATGAATTGTAAACTTAGCCTGCTTCGGGTTGAAAGGGGGGGGGGCAATCATTTTAATCTCATTTCTTTCATAGTGAATGATTATGAAATGAATGCCGTGGCAAGGATGGTGAATGAAGTGCAGCAGAATCGGATAAGTTTGTAAACTATTAATTGCACATTGTATATCTTTAAAATTGATATTCGGGAAACTAAAGCGAGTTTTAATGATAAATGTAAAATCTGTTAAAGCAAGACTGCATTCATGTAAACTTAAAAGTGCAATGGGTAAAAGGAGGGGGGGGGGGCAATGATTTAAATCTCATTTCTTTCACAGTGGTCGATTATGAAATGAATGCTGTGCCAATGATGGTGAATGAAGTCCTGAAGGAGTGGATAAGTTTGTAAACCATTCAATTAATTGCTCGTTGTATGTCTTTTAAAATTGATATTTAGGAAACTGAAATACAGTAGATTTTAAGGAGTAAAATAAAATCTATTAAAGTGAGACTGTTTTTGTAACAATCCTTTGTAAACTGTACGGTTTGTTGCGAGTCATGGTCTGGGGGGGGGGGGTTAATGTACTCTTTCGTGCTAGATACGCTACCCTCTGGAAGATGTGAGAAGATTGGAGAGTGAAAAATAGCTTGTGGAAGAGGAAGGATTCAAACTTCCCATGCAAGGTGAAAAGAAAAGTGAAAGTATTATCAAACTTGGTTGTTGCTTATGTGAATCGAGTCAAAACAGAATGAAGAGGAACTTTGTTTTCGTATGGTTTCTTTGGAATGTTGTGGATAATGCTTAAATATTGTGGTTAAAAAAGAAAAAAAAGAGGAATACTTTTGTTTCTTTGGAATGTTATGGATAATGTTTAAGGAGCATGGGAGAGGAGGTTTTTGTGTATTTGGCAGTGGGCACATAGTGAATGTTCATGCAGATTTGAAGAGTAGAAGATTGGTCAAGGTCCAGATGTGCACAAAAAGAATGCGATCGATGCTGAAACCTTGGGGAAGGCCAAATGGGCAATTTGTGTTTTAAGTCAGTCATGTATGGTAAGATGCATAGCTCCATATTATGTAAGTACATACTAAGTAATGGAATGGATTAAAAAAGAGCATTTGGACCAGAATATAACTATTTGGATTATTGAATATACTGATTTTGTGACAAGTTACTTGCTTTGTTAGAGTGTAGTGTTGTATTATTGACTAAGCTATTGATATGTGAAAATGCTTTCAGTGTTAGATAAAGCATGAAGTGTCTGTTAATTTTCAACACTTAATTTTCATGTTTTGCCTTTCATTGTGAAAAGTAGTCCTTCCTATTTGTAAATTTAAATCACATTAGCCAATGTGTATATTAACAATTACTGTAAGTTTATTGCAAGATATTTAGATATTTGCTGTGTGCGTGGAAGGTAGTTGTGTTTCAGGTGCATTCTTCCTAACATCAAGATTTTCTTCGTCACCATTGTAAAGTAACCGTGAGGTGTTTGCTAATGTCTTCTGCTGCAATAGCCTATCCAATGACAACCGTGGCTAGTTACAACTTCTTAACCAGGAAAAAATGCAAGATGTTTAGAGCTTTGAGAGGAAAGGGGGCTTCAACTTTATTTTTCCCTTGGGCTTCTGTATTTTGGACTTCTTATTTCCTTAGCAAGTTAGGCTATGTGCCAGAAAGGTAAGATGTATTTTCAGGTTGGGGCTGTACTCGCTAAGCTTCTAGGTTAATGTTTCAACGGCAAAGCTGCAACACCTACACACAGCTAGAGACCCATACGGCAACCCTCCAACAACAATCCATACAGCCAGAAGTTCCTCTCCAGCTACTAGCCTTTTGATGTTTGCCCTCCCTTGTCTGGTTGGTTCATAGGCCATCTTCCCAGGTGGATCCCAAGCCCAATGTCCAGACCACCATCATGTTGAGTACCAGATGACCATCCATGAGGTGTAGAATGTCCTTCCATCGTCCATTCCGTGGGCAGCTTTTTTCGTTTAGTTCTTCCAGGTTTTTCCCAGTGTCCAGTTTCTTGTAACCAGTTTACATAGGGTTATCAGTGTTCAAGTAGAAGGTTCCTTACTCCCAATAAATAGGTATCCATCAATCCAAAGGGCATATTTGGTATGAGATCGGCATGGTTGTTTCTCAGTTCCATTCAGCATGATGTCCACATTCATTAACAAGGCGTCTACACCAGGAGAGATTTGGGTCCAGCTCCCCAGTAGTAGCCCATGATGAGATGCTTCCCTCTTCAAGTTCCATTGTTAGCTTCAGCGTCTTACAGGTGCTTAATTCGCCAGCTCTGAAGTTTTGCAATCCTCTCAACCTTGTAAGGCCAACCAAGGTGTGATGCAAGAGTCCTAAACAAGTATTTTCTGGCAGGAAGTAAAGTTTAAGTTATGAAGGCCATCCAAGTAAAAAGTGGACTAATTACGAGGACTAAAGTTTGGTTTTGAATTGGTTCAAGATGAAGAGAAAGAAATTTTAAACAGAACTTTTGGAACTGTTCCTCATTCTGGCCAATAAATTACCAAACAGTGGTTTGAACTATCGCACGGCACAATTCAAATGCTAAAGTATGATGTACCAAAACAAATGAGAAATTGGGTATGGCAAATTATTCAGAGACTACTCATTCTAAGTATGCAAGCATGTATCCACCCTTTCAACAAAGACATTCACATCCAAGCAATTTCCAGAAATGTATGTCGAATGGGAATGTGTGTTTAAATTAATGTTAATCACTTGATTTTATCAGTCCTTGTAGGCTGGGTTATGTCTTACTGAATAATGTGCAGAGCTGTGGTCTCTGTTGTAGCAGTTATGCTTCAGCTTTCACCAACAGTGTATTGGTTATTCTGTCAGTCTTAATAATGTATTTTTTCTATGTCCAGGTCAAAGCATTTGTATGTGAAAAATGGTTTTCTTTTTAATAGGGAAATGTCTAGCCAGTGTAGGTTGCATTGAAAAATTATATTTGACGACTAAAGAAGTCTGAAGCTATGAATATGCAATATCCCCTGCTACTAAACTATACGACGTTTATGAAATTTTCAGTTCTTACCCATGTAATTGACACCACTAATTTTCAGGTTACCAAAGAGAGCATAGTGTGAAATTAATCAAATATTTCAAATGTTTACCTTCAGGTTTGAAAGGAAATTTATGTATGTTTAATTAACTTGATAAACTTTCTACAGTCTAGGTATTTAATAACATCTATTTAATCCAAGTATAATTGGAGTAAATTGTACCACATAATGAAATAAGAATTTCTAGGTGTAGAATTTTTTATACTGTGATTTGGTTGCAAGTCAATGAGGTAATTAATATCAAATGCTTTCCCAAATAAGTAGAGTACATATTGTCAAGTGAGTGAAATTTTAAATTTAACTTTCAACTGATGTCAAGTAAGCTATCTAGTTATGCAAATTTTTTATCATTAAGACAAGTTTCTCTTAACAGAAAAATGTTCTTCATGTTAAACTGAAATTTTCTTTTGGATATGAGGTTTTTAAACACATTTGCATTGTTCATAGTAGTCAAAATTTAGCTGGAGATAAGTTGTTTCTCACAAGTAAACGCATCGTTTGGATACTAAAAAAGAAATTTTACAAACTTGTAACCCAAGTAAAGAATAAGTTGAATGTATCAATATTGAAAAAAGGAAGTAGAAGTGGCTCTTAATCAAATAATATTGCAATGAGTAACAAGAACGTAGTTACCAAAGGTAAAGGCTATTTAATGTATATCTATTGATTTATAAAAGGAAGTATAAATGGTCCTTTATCAAATATTGAAAGGAGTAAAAATAAGTGTCATAGATTAAAAGTTTAATCAAATGTTAAGATTGACAGGGAAGAGAGTAAACTCTTTCAAAGCTGGTCAGAGCATTGGGTAAATCCTACCTCCCCCTTCCTCCTAGATCAAAGCACTGTAAAAAAAAAAAAAAAAAGATGAGGGAGTAGGGTTGGGTAGCCGGCTCGCAGCTATACCTGTCTTCGCGGTCTGATAGCAATGAAATTGTTGATCTGAAATAGGAAAAAAAAAAAAAAATGAAAAAAAAAAATCCTGTGTAACTTCTTTCAAATATAAACACCGTGAAATAAAATGCAATTTAGTAAATTGTATCTACTGTGTTTGTTGCTTATTTTAAAATTTGCATATTTCAAAACCTGATCGTTGACTCTATTTTGCAAGCATTTGAAAATTGTAAGCTGTTATCACATTCGCGTTTATGGAATGAGTCTTGTTAATCTACATTTGCATAAGTATAATATTGTCATATTTGATTTCTTGACCAAAGATTTAAATTTCAAACCAATCCCAGAAGTACCAACGTTATTCACTATATCCCAGCATACTTTATGTAAACTGCTGTCAAGTAATATGAAGCATGTAATTCAAAGTATTAATTACATAATGCACATGCCAGTTCACTGTTTTTAACAAGTCAAGTTGAGCAATATGCTTTTGTCTAATTATGCAGTTTAAATTTTGTTAATTAAATTTACTGTAATATGCGTGGCCATTTTCTCAACAATGCATAAGCTCATTGAAATATCTCCCAGCAGCTTCCCCTGTTATACAGCTTGAGTGACATGATGTACTTCTGGTCTTAATGTTGCAGTTTGAAGTGTCCTATCGCAAAATCTAGTAACTTTTGATATTGAAATTTTCAATTCTTCAGGTGGTAGCACATTTATGTTTAAAATTCGTGAGCCTAAACTGTCACACCATTTTAAGAATGCCCTGTCAAATGTTCAAAAAACATTATAAATTAACCTTATAAACAAAAAGAACCCGGAGACCAGGATGAATGACAATGTCTTCAATGCCAATAAGACGAGTGTCTACACATGGCTTCTTCCCAAACTCCTGTTTATCACCATGCGCACAGATATGATTGCAACAAAGACTTAATCCAAGGAGTTACTACTCAGACGGAATCAATACAAGTGACAAATTCAGCCCATTTTCAGAACTGTCAATGATCTTATTGGGGGAAAAAAACCTTGCCGTATGTACACTCCACAAAAGACTGTCAACTGTAATGTGGCATCAGATTCAGTTGTCGTACCAGCTGGGTCCATCCAACTCTGTTGGGCCTCTCGCATAAGTGCAGTCATTGTAATAAGCTCTATAGTGTGACATGCCCCATCAAGCAGCTCAGGGAAGGGGAGGGATAAACTTTTGTATATGCATTGCATAATTACCCCAAAGGTGTGTCAGACAATTTAGCTGCCTTTTAGGGAGTATCTCTGCAGAGTTGGATCAATCCAGCCAGTGCATTGTCTGAATCCAATGAAACAGAACTTCAGGATATGTGTGAAGATCTGGCAATGCTACAGACGACAACTGTATGAACTAGCACAGGAACAAAATGTGCCTTTATATGAGAAAAATGCCGCCCAGACAATTTTGACATTCTTTAACCTATAATTCCTTCAAAGTATCAATTTGGCAAATAAATAGGCCTGGAACCTCAGTCTTCTTCTATGACACGGTATAATATTTATTATTACTATACATTTCAGTTATAACAGAGAAGCACATATTCTGCAAATTGAAAATTCCTCTTTGAACGAGGCTAAAATTGTCACCTATTAGCTTAGAAGCTACAGGCCTGAATTTTTTTTTTCTTATATCCTTGGCAATCTATACTCAGTTTGACAATGTGCTATGAAAGACAAATGTATGGTTTCTTTCCTATTAAACTAATGGTCCCTGACATTAATAGAGGTTGCGTAAGTATCTGACAGGCGGAAAAATCTAGCACTTTAACCCTGCTGTCAATATTTGATTGGCTTTTATGTTAATTCACAGGTGACTTAAATCCCAAATATCTATAAACTAACCAACAATATTATTAGCAATAAGATAATTGATTTTGAAGGCTAAGGAAGAAACCATCACTTCATAATCACAAGTGAAGCAGTTTACTTTTGCATCAAATTTGATGGTAGGTCCATCATGTTTCTCTATATTTTTTCTGAGAATAATGAAGTTTGCCCCGTCTATTAACAGGATTGTATCTATTTGTCAGTTGAAGTCACACTCGTTTTACTCCAATAAATGCCATTATGCTGGACTTCAAATATCGCAAAGACCAGTTCTTGACCATGAAGCTACACTTTTTTCTTCAACAAAAACCAGCTGAAAATGTGCTTGTTTCACATGAAGTGGTAAAGTTACAGGCTAAATGATACTTGAATATGACAATAATAATTGAAGAGATACAAAAATTCTAAAACTTTCAAAATGGAATTTACTATAAAACATATCTTCAAAACATTTATGACCATAATTTTTAAAGGACCCTTTTTAAAAAAAATTTAATGAACTAACATTTTGAAAAAACGTTATTCACACAATTTGTGTAAATCATCTTTTTTCCATATCTTTCACTAGCCTGTTATTTTCTATATTCATATTGTAAAGTCTACTGAACAAAAGCAGATTTAAGAAATTTGAATAAGTATGATTACAGTTGTTATTATTAAAACAAATAATATTAATAGTGTATGGCCATGCACTTTCCCTTAAAAAAAAATAAAAAAGTAAGTAATCATCCTTGGCTGCATTAACTTCTTATTGTAAGCAACAATCCTTACATGTTTGAACAACTCTGCTGACTCTGGATTTTTATTGTTATAATACAATTAAGTGCCCCAAAAATTCATATCACTCAATTTGGACAACCTTGTGCTCCCTTGGTTTGTGATCCATAAAGATCAGTTAAGCTTCCCCAACATCAGAATAAAGTTGCTTCTAGACAACAATTCTTAGATGCATCTTAAATGAATAAAGAAAAGAGAGGAGGATCAAAGGTTGGTTAGACAGTTTTCTGTTGGAAAATATTTAACTGTTTATCTTTGAAAACGAATCAATTAATTCATCACAATTAATCTTTGGACTGTGATGCAATTGCACAACAATCAGGTCTGACACACAACTCTTGACAGCAGTTAGGTAGAGGCAGTGGTGTTACTGCAGACTTAAGAGACTCGTCTTACAGATAAGGCTTGCCTAAGGGGGAGCTCTAGATCATTCTAGTGAAAGGTGTGCCTCATCTCTTTTCAACTTCTTGTATGGACCTAAAACTGTTCGTTTTCTGCTTTATTTTCTGTCTAGCAGTAACTGTCTTCCCTTCACCTCAATTTGTTGCCTGTGTCACAAAGAAATCCTAGAAAATAAAGACAAAATTTTAAGCGACCTTGTTCAATATATAACTATAATATAGTACATATCAGTGTATCAAATGTAATGATATTTAACTAGACAGCAATATTAAAAATATACACCCACCAAACAGCAAAAATAAATAAATAAATAGAAATAAAATAGCTCAGAGGGCAAGGACTCCTAAACTATATGATATAAAAGGAAAGTTTGGCGTAGTCAAACGAAAATTTATGGCGACAACAATCTCCAGAGCTTATTTACGCACATGCGCATTCTGCACATGCTCAATTCTACCTAGAGGGGTGGTGGTCCCAATTGAGCATGTTGCTACTTATACCATGGAACGTCACTGTTATGAACGGGACTATGCAAGTTTGTGGTGCACTGGGATGGAGGAGACATAAAGATCTATCAAATATTAACTTTACCACCAAAGTTGTACTTCTTGTGTGTAAACAAAGGAATAAGAAATTTGGGCCTTTAACTAATTGGACAGTTATTTCTGAATCCAGCTGTGCTGATTAATGGTGGCCAATGGATGTTGAAACACTCGGATATCAGTAAATAGTGATGAATCAAATGTATTTGAATATGTAGTCATTCATTATCCTAAATAACACTGGAGTATAATAATTATGAATGCAATTCCTTTGTGACTCCAACAGATTATACTTATTAATGGACCTTGCAACACTTTGATGACAGTGGTAATCAATATTACTGTGCCTAGCACATCATTCATTCAATTTGTCTCATTTGCAGACACCTACCTAAAATGACATTCTGAACTATTAAATATTGCCAATCAAAATCTGACCTGTATGAAGGCAATTTGGAAGAATCAGTTCACATAATTGAATTGATCAAAACTTCAGGAATTTTTCACATACAGGCAAAAATTAACATGAACAATATGAAAATCAATAGGTTTCATATCCTATTACCAATCAACAAAAACATTTTTAACAAATTTCTTCAAACAATCTTCTTAAATCAATCTCTTAAATTACAACCCATGTCGCAGGACAAAAATTTGACCACTAACAAACACACGAACTAGCAGGCCAATATGGTACTTGTCATTTTACATAATGCTTGACTGCATAATCATCTCCAAACATTTATCATGTGCTACAGGTTTTCACTGCCACAGTCATTCAGAAAATGTAACTAGCACAGAGCTTCAGGTCCACTGGAGTTGAAAGCCACACATTGAAAATGCCACTTAATATGTGAAAAAATGAAAAATTCAGAAAAGAAAGATAAATACACATCATGGTTTTCTAATTTAAGCTGCATCTTTGTCTTAAGAATTGTTCTTGTTAGTTTTAAGAATAACATGGTTTTAGAAGGCATGTTATTCATATAATAACAATTATGTCATTTCTCATTGAAGGTGACCTCAACCCATCATGTTCTGCAAATGAAATTAAGTTCGCTTTTACAAATAATGGGAAAATATCTTCTATTAAATCTTGACTTTTTATTTACTAAGTACTGAATTTTCCCAAGCTATATAATGTAACTCACAATTTCCTTTGCTTATCTTTTATACCGACTTTGAGCCACAGATTGCTTATCTTTTAAAATTATGATCCTAATGATTTAAACAATTCTAATATAACATCAATCACATACCTTGAGAGATTTCATAGAATTTGTTGCTTGCAAGCCAAGTGTTCGAAGAACAACAACAGGGGGGAAATCGGTACCATACAGCCTTTTCAGACCATCCATTGCAAACATAACTGGAAGAACTTTCCTTTGACGAGAAGTTTCATACTGTAGAAGATGACTCAGAGAGCCTGGAAATCAAATACATAATACATTTCTGAAAATGTTGTGGGTAAACAGTCACCTACTCATTATTCAAACAAACTAAGTCTTCTAAAAAACTTATCATAATATTTTGTGGCACTTTATATAATGTTTTCAAAAGCACAGTAAATATTATGATCATAACAGAAAGTATGTATATAAATCTGGGGTTCACATAATTCAGCAATATTTAGGCATTTGCCCTGTCGGGAAAGTTGGGTAAGTACTGGAAGGGAGCTGGGCTTTCTAAATAAACTTGAGGATAAGACTTGCCCCCACCAGGTTTATTTTGGCATTTAATTTTCCTTGAAATATACATATTTGAAATCTCCACATACAACTTCTATATTTTCTCTAGTTTGGGAAATATTATGGCATTTAAGTTTCAAAAATTTTGACAAGGGTTTATTGCAGCTGGTGTCGCACATATGCAAATGCCCCAACAGAGCCCTAAATCACGGGGTATTAGGATGCGGTTACATATGAGCTAAATTCCAAGAGATGAGGACACAGGTCCTTTTACATGTAGTCTATGAGGAGATATGGTAACTGGTACTTGATTCTTGAACCAAGGGAGCTGGCAGATGAGACAGCTAGGTTGGGGCTAAAACCATGGGTACCACCAGTGCTACAATAATTTCAAAATGCGGGTGTGGGGTTTACAGTAATTTAACTGCCCCAATATGAAATCACATTTTTTTCATGCCACCCAAACTCTTTCAGAAAACTGCATCTACCAAAATATATAAGACAGTAAAATGCACTGTTGCTTGCTTAACATGTAAGGTAAGCTGAATACAATTCTACTTGTAGCACAGAAATGGCAAGAATTAAAGAGACCTCACAAAGTTGATCTTGAAAGTCTATCAATTAATATCTATTTTCTCGACTGATATTGAGGAATAATGATCGATATGCTGATGAATACAGCATATCTTGAGGGGCCACATAATTTTGCTGAGGTGCTGTGCAAATGATCCATTAGCAAGTCACATTCATTTGCTGGCAAGTACGACTTTAATTCTAGTTGCCTGACCACAAAAATCACTTCTGACAGGAAAGTAACACCAAGAGGTATATTGAGCCCTATAGATAGACTGATATGTTGATAGATGGATTCTTTACTCTATTTAAATCCTGCTTTTTAAGAGGCCTAAATGGGAAATAACATTTTTTATAACATACAGATATAGATTTGCAATGTTACATACAATATAAAAAAATTTTAAAGCCACAGAACGCTCATCTTACCAAGGTCTCCTCCATTACAGAGACACTGTACAAGAACATCTCGAAGGCACGTCACATCACCAAACCCCAAATTTACACCTTGTCCAGCAAGTGGATGAACTCTGTGTGCAGCATCTCTTAAAGAAATGGCAAATAAATATATGAACAGATATACACCATCCTAGCCAGATTATACATAAACCTTTTTCAAAAATAATTCATATACTTAAGTAAAAAATGACAACTAAGTGTATATTATTTCTTAATGTATATCTATAATACAGTAGAATTGAATGCTATGAGATAGTTACCACGTTACTTTGGAAATTACTTGATTCTTGTTTTATAATAATGTCAAATTAAGACTCTACCCAATTAATGCTAGTCTTGGTTTGACATAATGTGAAGCATGAACCAGGCTTAGTGGAAATGCTGCTCTACTTTCATCTTCTATGTCAGTAAATGTTGGTGGAAGCTGACGAAAACTTGTTCCCTCTGTTAAAAAAAAAAAAACAATTTACAAAATTAACAAAAGCAAGACAACCAATGTACAATATAACAAAAGCAAGACAAACTCACTAGACATACAGTGTCAACAATTTTTACTATTACATAAGTAGGGCTGATACAACCTACTTTCAGTTTTTTTTTTGTTTTTACTTTTCAGTCATTGACTAATTCAGCCATAATTTTTTTGGGGGGGGAGGGGGGGGCAATGAAAAATATTAATCTTATGTAGGTCGAAAGTTGGTAATTAGAAATGGATCTCGACTACATCAAAATGAACCTTTAAGGTAGGATCTTCCAAATTTAATTTTGACAAGCAAGTGTTCCACTTATTGTGTTATCACTGAAAGTGCATGATGACAGATGTACATGTAGGTGATGTCTATATATACAGACATATTACACCCCTTAAAGCACCTTATGTACTTAATTATGATATTTCTCACCTGGGCTAACTGTGTTTATTAAATCCTGAGCAACCTGACCTGCTCTAACAGCAAATGAGTCTTTTTTGTCTTCATCCCACTGAAAGACAAACCTTGTAATAATGATAAACTGAATAATTTTTAACCCTGTCAGCATTTTTAGAAACATATGTACCAGTACTAATTAAGCTAATTATTTTACTTTGGGCTTGGACTCATCAAGTGTATATAAACCGTTGTGTGGTCAATGACCACAGGTAGATTGCATTTTATTGATAAAATGTGTAAGATAAGTGTGTGCACTTAACATGTTTTACCTTCTTTAAACAAAGTTTATTATTATTATTATTATTATTAAATGTGACTTTCATAATATTTTTACAGAAATTGTTAAAAGTACAAATACAGGACAATGATTTTTTAAAAAATTAACGCAAATTATTACATTTTCATATTATAGTAGGAGAAGCATTCACATATACTGCATTATCAGAGATTTTTTGGAAACCCTTTTTTATGGAATCTGTCTTAGTACATATGCTTAATTCAAGTACATATTTTTTATAATTTTCAAAGAAATTGTTTACAAATCTTAAATTTGAACATAATTGTTCTGGTGATTGAAGTAACCTTATTTAATAAACGACCATTCTTAGCACTACTGCATGTTGAGAGAAGTAATTATGCCACTGTGTTATTAAAAAATCTTTAAAAATGCAACAGTATAACAATGAAAACAAAGGAATGTTAATTTTTCATATTTTCGACACAAACAGTTCAGTATTAAGGTACTGGCCATTTTAACACCAGAAGTCCTGAGAGATGTGGATGGTCTTGGAATTTTAGGGCTTAGACTGGGTTCTCATGCCTAGATCAATCTAACTGGATCGTCCCATCTCCAAGGGGTTTCTAACTAAAGTGCTTTTAGCTTGAACGGCTTATATGTCTGGCACGCCTACTGGACCCGCTAAATGATAGTTAATTACCCTCTAACAGCTTCAGTGGGTGTGCGAGACATCTAAGCTGCTGAAATTGATAGCAATTTAGTGAGAGCCCCTTTGGTGATAGATCGATCCAAAGTTAGTACTATAGTCTCTGGGAATGGTATCATATTATTTTAATCTAATCATCTACAGAGTATTTCCTAATTCACTGGGGCAGTAATTTTAAGGGCTTGAAACTATTGATTTTTGGCTAATGTACGTTGTACTACTTACTAAAGCCATATTTAGAGCATCTACAAAATTTTCTTTTGGAAGCTTGAGCAACCTCTTTGCTTCATCTGGTGAAGTGGTCCACACAAGGGAACTTTGAGTTTCTGAAAGCTGCAATAACAAAAAAAATCTCTCTCACTCTCCACATATATATATCTGCACATCCACGATACTGGATAACAGCAGTGGGTGATCATCTTTGAAAGTCTGTCAAAATATTCCTATGCATTGGATTATAATGGGGGTGTTTTCACGTGAAAAATGATAAATTTGTCTTATTACAAAAAACAATTTTATGTTTGCAAACATTGCTGTGTATTTTAAACTTTTTGATTCATAGCTGAAAATGACACTAAAACAGCGCTTAAATCTGGGACACAGACAGACCAGTCCATTTTGTAGCTTTACATTTTGGAAAAGAAAGCTCTCAGAATAGTATTTTCATGTTTTATAGTCATCTCAGGGATCACTACAGAAAAATAAAAATTGCTCTTCCTCGCAAATTTTAATGGGTGAGGAAAACAGGTTTTTGTGCATTATTATCATTTCCATTTTCAACTTCAGTACAAAGTATTATCTCCCATACACGTAAACTATACAAATCATTCAATTTCGGGATTTAAATACCTGAAATACACTCTGCTTTTCATAAAACAACAATGTGTAAGAAAATCCTGTCATCTGAGCGTGTAATCACAGATGTCATGACCCAATCCTGTTTCATTTCCTCCAGACTCGCATGACAACGAAACTACAGCTAGCATGTAGTTTCATTTCCCTATTATTAGTATTAAGATTCGGCCCAGGGACTTTGCGAAATAGTGGAGATGGATTAAGTGTATGTTAAAGCCTCTGTTCTATTACTAGTATGTTGTGTATGTTATAAACACCCCCTTCCCTTAAACCTGTTTCAAACATCTGTCTAAACCCTGCTTCCTACAAATATTGTTTTACAAAAACAATTTTTTTTTTTTTTAAATAAGAACTAGTGGAAACACAAGGCACTTACAGGAAGTACTGCCACTGGTCCTGTAGGAAGAAATCTTTGCCATGCAACAACATTTTCTGTTGGCTGAAAATATAAATGTTACCTTTAGGATATATATATATATATATATATATATATATATATATATATATATATATATATATATATATATATATATATATATATATATATCTGGTGGCTCAAAAAAAAAAAAAAAAAGCTTTTTAAACTGAAATTCTGTAATGAGTTTGATAAACTATCACCGGACAATCCTGATAAGTGTTTAAGTGAAACAGTTTTGAGAAACAGATTTCAAATCAAAAACACATTTATTTACAGGTATCAAAACTGCCAGACGCTGACACATGGGCAAGCACGGTATATCATCTCAACATGAAATGATAGCACTCTCCCTTGGTTTGTATGTGGCTTAAAGGTTTTCTTTTTGGTGTGCCAAAACTGACAAAGGTAGTCATGAAATTTTGAGTTCTTATTAAAACATCACTTTCCTAGAATATACCAAATTTCATAGCAATATCTTCAAAACTGTTGAAGTTATTGAACTTAGAAATTAGTAATGCTTTTTTAGACATCTGATATATACACCTCGTATGACAAGTTATCAGTTTTCCTAAATTAAAAGAAAGTAAGTGCAGATTTTTTCATCCCCAAGTCTAATAACAATTAAATGCTAAAAATTGGCACATGTCAAAATTTCAACTTTATTTCTATTTGTTTAAGTAGACATTACCTCTGCAAAATGCAAAGTTGACACTAGTCCCCACTGCTCATAGTCCCATTGTAAGGTATGGATATTTGCTTGCTTTCTTACAAGTGAGTTAAAGCCATCTGCACCAATCTGAAAAAGTACATTTCCCAAGTAAGGGAATTATGTAAAAGCCAAAATTATATTATACAAATCACATATCTTATATTACAACAATAATATTTATTAATAGAATACAGGATTATTACACAAGCAAAATGCTGTTTATTTTCCTAGCAATCTCAACAGGTTTCTAGTACTACTCAACCATCACAATCAGGGATTCTAAATTTAGTAAAAAAATTCCATCACATCAACAGACTCCTATTCCCAATTATAAAATGACCATCCAGATTATGGAATAAAACTGAAAGTTTGTGCTTTTCCGAGCACGCAGGGGCATAAAAATTGCCAGCTGCCATGCACTGGTATGTAGGGTTTGCTATAATGTATTCAATGTGTGAGGCAGATGCACTCAGCTATCAGTGGTATACAGTACCACCATAAACACAATCAGGGAGCATTCAGATAGACACTTGTACTAGTTGGGTTGGTCTAACTCTGCAGGGGCTCTCCTTAAGTGCAACTGGTTTAATTGAATGGCACGTCTCCTTGAGCAGCAAGGGGGTAATTAACTTTTGTGTCCACTCAGCTTAATTAATCCCTAGCTGCTTATGGAGGCATGTAAAATAATTAAGCTGATTTGACTGATTGCACTTAGTGAAAGTCCCCCACAGAGTTGGACCGACCCATCTAGTGTAATGTGTTCATCTGAATGGGGTCATAGATGATAACTGATAAAAGAAAATATGCTTTAAAGAGGACATACTCCGTTTCCCAAAATCAGACTAAAAATTCTTTTATATAATACTGATTTTACACATTTATCATATAATGTTCATGGACTTCATTTCTGTTCAGAGAGAGAGTATGGCCGGTTTGTGCATGATTACTACAAAGAGTGTGGTCAATTTATTTCCAATCATCCCTTTATATTTTATCACTACTAAATGTTAACTTACACCAATTTTAACTGGACCTTTGAAATCAAGACTGCCCAAAATTGTATAAAAATTCCTATTAAAAATCTGTCACGATTGTTCTTTATACCTTACTTAATAACTACACCAAATTGGGTAATTTTATCTGCAGTGGTTACAGAGTTATCCTCTTAACGATCTGGCACAACTTCTGATTTGTTCCAAAAACTGGGTTTTTGAACAACATTTTAGAGTTCTTCAGCACTTATGATCCATTATGGAGAATGACTTAAGTTTTCAAGTATTTTTATAAATACATTTATAACATGGGTCAGCCAATTACCAGTAATTTTGTTTGAAAAGTTTCCCCATCTGGTAGATGAACCTTTATCCAAAGGTTCTCCTGTACTCCATCTTGTATTTGGCTTGGGAAAGTGTACATTTCTGCTTTAGAATTGTACATAACAGTCACATTATGTTTTATCTTGTCAAACTGTTTCATTATTGCTGCCAGTATAACATCATTCTCTACAATATATGCCACATCATCTGTCATGTCATCATGATTTAGTGTTATAAAAGCATCCGAACAAGCATCCCACACCTGGAAAAAATTGATTACAAGAATTCATTAAAATTTTAATGATATTTATAGCACAAATGCAATACAACATTGAAAAACATTAGAGTATCAATTCTAATATTAAACAAGTCAGCAAAGCTGTCAACTGTATAGACATAATGGAGAAAATACTGAAGCTAGTGCACAATAATATAGTTATTAGGCAATTTTCATACAGTAATATATAGCTTTAACAGCATAATCACTGCTGAATTTTAATTATATACCACAGGTTACATGAACATTCAGATTATTTAACTAGCATAAGGCTTAGAACTCCTGGGATTTCAAAGTCACACACTGAAAATACCAAAGTTTGAAAAAAAAAAATCCAAAAATAAAAGAAAAATAATCCAACCAGGCTGGTTTACGAACCTGAGCTATATTCAAGTTTGAGTATAATTAATAACATTTGTTTTAAAAATCCTGTTACAGTATTGGCTGTGCACAAAAATAAGGTTTGTCAATTTTGATGCAATATTACATAATGTTTAAAAGCATAATCACCACCAATTTTGAATCATGTACTATTCGCAACATGACCATTCAGAAAATGTACATAGCATAGTGCTTCAAGCCCATGGGATTACACAGTCTGAAAATTTTCTGGCATCGGGAATTTGAAAAAAAAATTTGTTTTTCAGTATATAATTTACCCGCACTTACTATTACTGGTCTATTCTTTTAAATCTTTTAAATACTCTGCTTCTGGTGGTAGTGCACAAAAATTGGGTTATTGTCAGTTATGATGCAATATAACCTAATGCTTAACAGCATAATCACCACTTTACTTTGTGTTAAATCTTCTAAAAATGGTCAGGGCTTCCCATCTACTGTATATCTACATAGGGGTCTAAGAAACTGGTGAAGTTAATGGACTTTTGTTATTATTTCAATACATATATTACACATACATAATGCTATTTGAAGCTTCCATCATCAACACCAAGTTGTCAATCATATAAGATACTGTATATACAGACACCCTGAACTTCTCCATCAACGATAAGATTTGACACAGTGTGTAAAACTTGAAAAAAATATATGTCTTTTACCAATTTTTGATACATTTTCTTATTCATTTTGGTACAAAATGAAAGATTCAAACTCAGTTCATGATCATTGATATAAAAAAGGTGTGCAATCAAGTTGAAAGAATTAGCCATGCAAAACTAACCTGATATTAGGAATCATAAAACATTGTAGTCAGTGTTTGCCTCTTAGGAAAATTAGTTGCTGGACCAGCCATCTTGAGAAGTAGCTGGCTCGAATGTCTGCCGGGTGGGAAAACTTCTCAGCCCGTTCTGAAAGTTGTCAGCCCCGGGCAGACAGTCCAGCCTTAATTTCTAACACTGACTGTAGTTACTTTCTCTTAATTGAGGCATGTACACTTGATTATTTTCATCCCAATCAGTAATGTGCATATTTCTCTTTACTTATATATGTAGCTATAGTTCTAGCAACATGTGTATTTCTTTACCTGCATCCTTTTCACTGGTTGATATCGCATGTTACAAATTTCCTCCCAGGCACCAAAACCTTGTAACAAACATAAAATTATTTGTGAAATAAAATGTAAAAAGAACAGGCATCAAAAATCAGAACAGACATTAACAATATGAAGAAACATAAACTTACTGAAATTCTACTAATTTACAAAGTAGTTTTCAGCATTTCTTTTAAGAACATCATTATACACTGTGGATTATTCTTTAAGAAAACAAATGCCACCAGCTTAAAATCATTAAATTAAACTAAACAGACCCACCACAAATGGAATACTTGCTCTCAATTTGCAAATATCAAAGCTTTTCAATCTCACAACATGTGATATTTCTAAAATCCAAATCACTATTATTACCTACCTGATAGTAATTTCTTCGTTGCTGGACTTAATGCACATACTCTGTTGCCATATTTTTCAGGCAGTTTAAAATCTTTCTGGGGTGATGCTTCTAGTAAAAGGATCTTCTTGTCTTCAAATACATTTGCATGGCCTAAAATCACAGTAATGTGGTTTCAAATGTTTTATTCCAGTACCGCCTACCTGATGAAAATAAAACAAACTTTTAATGTGATAATGATGTTTTAATGTCCTTGGTTTTTGCAGGAGGCTCTGCATCCATCCGTGCAACCATAGTAAAATGGGGTATGGTGTAACAAGTTAAATTCAATAACATCTTTCCAATGGCATAGCTATTTTAAGCCTCATAAAACCCACAATACATTCACTTTCTTGGAATACATGTATCATGTCTTGCTTTGCTATGTAGTTTTGTGCTTTAGTTTTAAGTCTTATAAGAGCTACACATGTAAAGCATTGATCATAACACCCTGTGTTGGAAATTCTCCAGGCTTTATGTGATGTCCCTTACAAATGTCATTCATAAAAAGCAGACCTAAACCTGAGCCAGCCATCATGTCCAGAGATCCATGTATGTTTTCAACAAGAAATGGTTTTGAAAGTGTTTTTGGAAAACACTAATTTGTAGTCTTTATTTTTTCTGTTTATGATAACGGATGTTAAAATCAATGACTGATATATTTTTTTAGTCATGTCACTATGCATATGACACATCAGATATTTTCTTTCTATAATTTTACAGGTGCACTGTAAGCATCTATGGATCCTGTCCCAGCAAAGATGACAGCACTATCTTCAGAACTTCAGTCAAGCAGGGTAAGTGAGCATCCTGGGTTCAATCCCCAGTCGGGTCAGACATTTCCCCCAAAATGCTACAATAGCTTAATTATAATTTAAAAAAAAGCGCGTGGACCTTAAAAGCCTCTAAAGAATAACATATCACAAACAATTTATATTGGAATGCTTTTTTAAAACATGTATTTGAAAATCATTTGAAAAACAATGCCTCATATGAAAAAGAAAACAAGAGTTGATCACCTAGAGCACAGGCCATTGCAGCCCCAACCATTCCTCCACCAGAAATGACAACATCAAACAACTGGCTATTGTCATCTTTTCTAAGGGTGTCTGAGGAGGAGAAGCTCCGAGATAATACCGATATTGGCGTCCGTTTTGAGGTATATTTAAGAAACCCTGATAGACATCGGTTAAGATGAAAGGTTGTCATTTTCTTGCATATCGTTTGACGTAAAGCCTCGACAGCACAGTTGCTCTTTTCTGATTAGAGGGCGAGAAGGTGCTCATCATGTAAGCCCGCACCAAATTATTGATTGCATAAATATTTTTAATTGTTTTATCTCACTGCAACACTGCTGAAAAATCATTATGTATTTGGATTTGTGTATCAATAATTGGATCACAGAGATTATAAATGATTTACTATCGATATTTACTTTGAGTCCGGTCCTATTGCGGCATATTTTCAAATGTTGACGATGGCAACAAGTCACGGTTTAGCAGTGCTCACAAATTCTTGCGTTAAACCCCCACTTGATTCCAAGACTGGTCTGCCCACAACGGTCCATGAGCGAGGTGCATCATCCTTTAGCCAGACCTGGGATGAAGAACCACATGAATCAGAGAGTGAGCCGGAAGATGACATAAAAAATGCAACATGGAAAAGGGACACTGGCTATCGCACACAAGCTAGTCCAAGGGTAGACCTGACTGCAACGGATCCTCTTATTGAAAGTTTAACAAACGATCTCAGTAACTTATCAGACGAAGATTTTTACCGGAAGTTACAGGAACTCAAGTCAGAGCACAAGAAAACCCTGTCTTTGTGCAAAAGTTTGTACGATGAAAAATTGCAAGCAGAAAGTTTTGAGCACGTTACGGGTAAACCTCCTTATGAGATAACAGGTAGATACCACACCAGACCAGATGGGTCAAGATATAGTGATGAATTTAATGCAGTGCCACCATCTGTACATAAAGCTTGCCAAGGGGACAATGTGCGTGATATGTCATCCAAACCACCAGCACCCCCAACAAGGCCTAAAACTAGTCATGGAAGAATGTCTATGTCACATAGTTCATCATTGAAAAAGGCCTGGGCAGATGAAGACAAGAATCTAAATGACAGGTTCCTGAATAGTAATACAAATGAAAATAAAAGCTTCCAAAGGCAAAACCAACCAAACCTTCCTGTTGCAAATGATTCTTCAATGTCGCAAATAGAAGATATGTGGGAAAATTTTTCAGTTGAAGATTATGCTCCAAGAGAAAGAACAAATTCAATGTCATCAGGCATATCTTCAACATCATCAAGGCAGAAAGTAGAGTCATCTGGCAAAGAATGGAGACATAGGATAACCATTCCAAAACCATTTAAAATGATGCTGAGGGATAACGAAAAGCCGAAAAAGAAGACGTCTGCAATGATAGCGCTTGAGAATGAAATAGAGGAGAAGAAAAGAAAGGAGGAGGAAGAGTGTCAGAAGAAATTCAAAGCACAGCCGGCACCAGCACACATTTATGTACCTCTTTTTGATGAAATTATGGAAGAGAAAGAAACACGCAGAAGAGCTATTAAAGATCTGAGTTCAGAAATTGTAAATTCCATGATTCAGCCTTTTAAATTTTCTATCCGCGAAGAAGAGAAAAAGAGGCAAAGATCTCAATCAATTCCAAACATTCCTGTTAAGAAAGAAAAGAGCAAGTTTAAAGCACGTCCCATTCCAAAAGAGGTTTTTGATGAGTCTATAATGGAAAAAATTGCTGAAGAAGAAGAGTACAGAAAGATAAGAATAAAGATGAGAGCTGAAGAGATGTTAAGGTCTGCATCTTTACCACGCAATATGGAGAGCAGAAACAAAGCCCTTGCACAAACAAGATCCAAATTATGGTCATCAAAGGCTAAAGAGCTTGGTTTAAGCACCAGTCAAAGTTTTAAACCAAGGATCAACCCGGATGTACCAAATTTTGAGGAAAAACATTGGGAGCTTCAACGTGAGCTTTCCAAAAGAAAGTTAGAGAAAGAAGCCACTGTATGCAAACCATTTAACTTGCGTACATCACGCATACCATCCAAGAAAAATAAAGTATATGAAGATATGCAGAAAGATGAAGATACTTTGAAAGAAAACAGATGGCCTTATAAAAACCCAAGAGCTAAACCTGAGCCAGTGAGATTGTCCAGAGGTAGGTTTTTCAAGTGGGAATGCTTTTGAAGGTATTCTTTAAAAATTATTGTAGTCCTTATTTATTCTTTTCATGATAAAACATGAAAAAAATCAGCAACTGATATCTTACCTTTTCTGTGTTATGTCACTACACATATGACATTATTACAAGCTCTTCATATTATTTTACAGGGGCACTTTCTGCATCTATGGATACTATTCCAGCAAAGATGACAGCTTCATCAGAACTCCGGTCAAGTGCTAATAAGTATGTGGTTTATTTGCCTCACTAGAGGCAGTTTTTAGCTTTACATGCTACGTAAGACCTCATAACACCCTGTGTTAGAAACCTTCAAAGCCAGGTTTGATGTCACTTACATGCAAGTAGAGTGCAGAAGTGGTAACACTACTGCATAGCTGGAATAAAAAGACTTGGAACATTATCTAACTTGTGCATGAATCAATACAACTTGCATTACATTACATTCATCATGACATTTTAAAAGGTGCAATGGAGGACACAAAATTACCCCAGGATGTGAGTATTTATAGGCTTCAGAATTCATGACACAGGGTCTTATGAGGACTTACCTACAGTACATCCTGGGCGAACAGGCCAATTAATTTTTTTTAATCCGCTTAAATGAATAACGTGGTGTATACGGTAAGCTAATTTGAGCTGATGATGTAACAGCTGTATTTTTGTGTTGAAAATTATACTTTCAGTTTCTAACAGATCTCCCTCAACTGAATAGCTACCAACACAATTTTAATGTCTATTTAATCACAACAATAAGTTATACAATCTGGTCCCAGGGTATCTTTTTCAAAGCTTACTTCTGGTTTTATCGATGAAAAGCAAAAAAAAAAAAAAACTTTGTTTGATGGAATATTGTATTAAGAGCCTCATATCTCCCAAACAAAACACATTTAAAGGAACTGCTGGCACTGGGTTGTATTTCACACCCTTGTCATCAACCATGTCAATTTTCATGATGATATCTGACTTTGATGCAGAGTTCAGGGGAAGCCAATCACTATCTTACACCAATTTACAAAGTAGTTAAACTGATGATAAAAGTAGTAGCATATAGGGTGGTAAATTTAAAACAGTAAAAAAAAGGAATTTTTGCTTTTAGACTATATATGTATGTAATTTTATTGCACTAATATCTAGATAAGTATTTTATATATAAAAGAAGTGGGATTTTGATCGATTAAAGCATCAGTCTCCCTTTAATTGAGGTTTCTGTTCTAAATGAGTGGGAGGCCTACAAAAATTTCATTTGCCTTGACACAAAACATAAATTAGAGGCTTTATCAATTGGTTCTACAAGCAGCACACCACTCTTGAAGCACTGAAGCATGTTTTTGAAAAAAGGTGTGCCCAGGCCTTAGATGCGGGTGTTATATCTTTGTAGAGTAAGCAGTATGCTGTGTGTTTATGTGTTATGTATTGCTTCAGACTAAATCTAAATTTTAAGAGGTGTACATATATTTAAATACACAGGGAGAAGATGAGTACCATGATCAAGAAAGAACTGGAGGAACTTGAGAATGAAAGAAGACGACGCCAAAGGGAACGTCAGTTGAAAAAAATGGTAGCAGAAAGGGCAGCTGCAAATGATCGATCTGTGCCTCTTAAAGCTTGCTCAAAGGAAAAGCTAAAAGGATACAAGTATGTTTATCTCGTTGTTATACAGTAAGCACTATTCACTACAATGGGCCTTTTTGTGTACAAACACAGATGTGTCTGTACATAGAGCTGTCATCTGCATCTGTTTTCACCATTTATGTGCATTTTCATGGATAACATGATATGTGGAAAACTGTTTGACTTAGAGAACTGAAGAATATTCATAAAATACAGGTCAGGTTTATTGGACCAATTTTCAAAATTTATGCTGTTTGTTGTTCTTTCAGCATAAATTATACAATTATACTTAATGCAGTACAGAAAACACATTGCAAGAAAAACCATTTGACCTTTTTTTCTTCAGACTTACAGGAGTGATAAATGTTATTTATATACAGGTGGAGTTAAAAAATCAGCTTGATCGGACCATGTCTCCAAAAGTTTTTTTTTCTTCAGCATATATTGTATGGTATGCAATGCAGATAATACATAAGCAGAGAACTGGTTGGCTTTTTGTCTTCAGGAGGGATTTAATATTACTAAAATATCAGTTGAGTTTTTAAAAATATCAGCCTATTTGGAATATTTGTCTTGAAGTTATGCTGTTTTTTTTTTTTTTTT